GCAAAGCTAACACGTGAACAGCTACTGCGATAACACGATGCTCGCTACCGCCATCCAGGAACCTATGGGCGACTGTTCCATGACATGCGGAAACAACTACACTGAGTTTTGTGGTGCAGCTTCGCGACTCAACATTTACCAATTCGGACTCAATTCTAGCACGACAACATCTAGCACTACCGTCTCACTTCCCACGCTGCCAGTCTCCACCTCGCTATTGGTGAATGCGACCACGCTGTTGACCACGTCCTCCTCCACGACTGGACAAAGTACGACAACGACAGCGAGTGAAAATGCAACGACCTTGACCCCAACCCAGAACCTTGCGCCGACATCAACCACGTCAACCACATCCACGAGTTCAACGCTCACAAGCACTACTACAAATGACAACAGCACTATCTCTTCGACTACGACCACATCTACAATGATCACGACTTCCTCGACCACTTCGACCACTTCGACCATTTCCACCAATTCGACCACGGACACCACGTCCACCACGTCGACGACATCTACCACGTCACCGACATCCACCACGTCCACCACTTCGGTTGCTCCGACCAATTCCACCAGTTCTGCCACGTCCACCACTTCTACTATATCAAGCACGTCGACCACATCTTCGGCTTCGCCTACGAGCTCAACCTCGACTTCCACAACGACTGCTTCAACTACAAGCACAACGACTTCAAGCAGCACAACAGTCTCGAGCAGCACAGCAACCTCGACTACTACCTCGGCGAGTTTGAGCACGAGTTCAACGACCTCGAGCAGCACAACGATAAGCTCATCTGCCTCGACGACAAGCTTAACGTCTCCCACGTTAACCACAACCACTACATCAACCACAAGTATCACATCAACCACGACCACTACTCCGAGCACGACCACTACCCCGAGCACGACCACTACCCCGAGCACGACCACTACCCCGAGCACGACCACCACATCGAGCACGACAATCACGTCGAGCACGACGACTATTCCGAGCACGACAACCACATCGAGCACGACGACTACTCCGAGCACTACAACCACATCGAGCGCAACCACTACTCCGAGCACGACCACTATACCGAGCACTACCACAACATCTACCACGCTCACGACGACCACGACGACCTCGGCCACCATCAAGCCAACGCCTACAGTCCAGCGTATCGCTGGATCCTACGTCTACGCCAATTGCTACAAGGAGGCAACGAACATTCGCGCGTTGTCAGCATCGTCTACGACCGCACCGGACATGACTGTTGCCAAGTGTGCTGCTTTCTGTGCCGGATCATCATTCATGGCTGTCGAATTCGGAACGGAATGCTACTGTGCAAACAAGGTCAACACTGCGCAAGGAGCGGTTCCCGCGACTGATGGCCGCTGCAAGATGCCCTGCGGCGGTGATCCAACCACGATCTGTGGTGGTAGCTACGGACTGACCGTGTATACACAAGGCCTACCGTATGTCGGATGTGCAATCGATACTGCTGGTAGCGGAGGAGGGAGAACACTGTCCGGTGGACAGTTGATCTCAAGCGACATGACGCCTCAGAAGTGTATCGACTTCTGCGCTACGATGAACTACGCGCTTGCCGGCATCGAGTATGGTCAAGAGTGCTATTGCGGCAGCCCTGCGAGCCTCAGTATAGGCGCCTCGGGATGCACTTCCAAGTGTGGTGGCGACAGCACTCAAATGTGTGGTGGTTCTTGGCGACTAAGTGTCTATAACAATACAGCCTACGTGCCACCTGTTGTGAAGCCAAACATACAGGGCTACACTTATCGAGGTTGTTATGCGGACGGTGCTGTCAGGGTGCTGAGAGACTACGTTAGCTCGGGTCCCTCGATGACCCAGGATGTCTGTGTAGCAACTTGCAAGAGCAGGGGCCTGAGTGTTGCCGGACTGGAGTATGGGAAGGAGTGCTGGTGCGGGAAGACAATGCTGGCACCGAGCACTAAGACCGATGACGGAGACTGTAGCTATAAGTGCTCTGGAGATAGTACGATGTTGTGCGGTGGAAGTTATAGATTGGGAGTATGGGCACTTTGATGGAGGCTTCTCAGGATATACATTTGTTAGCGGAACATAGATCGCCCTTCTGATACAAGTATACGACCGCAGGTTAGCCATATGACCATGTGCTTTCCACACGATCTCATAAGCTTTTTCTCGAGGTCCTTGGGTGCGCTGGTCAACACGAGTCGCATCTCCGCACCACCATTTCCTGTTTGGCCTCTTCAAGTTCTTAATGCTTACCACCAACTACCTGATCAGTAAGTGTGCTCCATCCTTGCTGCACCATCCTATTCGGGAATACGCCCGGATGTGTTGCTCCATACATGTTCGCATGCATTCAAGCTTCTGGACCGCCAAACTTCGCGACGTGCATCTTAGACGAAACAAACGACCACAACGACCACATTGCGCAAAGCCACAGCCCGAGAGCAGTAAATGCCTCTTCTAGCGACTGAAACTGTACGAGCTGCTGCTTAACAATGACAGCAGAGGTCTAACGTGAAGAGGCAAATGCTCGTGCTTCGCGGCCGATGGAAGTTGGGAGATTGCTTGATGAGGAAGGGGAGTTCCTGCTTTCTGTGAGTCGTCGACGCCATTGATGTTCTTGATGTGACTTCCTTATCGACAGACATGTCCAGAGTGAGAGCCAGTGCGACAGATGCGGCAGTCGCATTGGTCGGGCTTGAGGCAGCTGCACAGGCTGGCTGGTGCGGCTTGGCTCTTGCGATGACTCGCCACTTGTGGCTCGCAGCTCTGTTTCCTGCAACTCCAACAGAACACGGCTCTCGGATCTACCACAGTCGACAAGAGTCCTTCGAGAAAGTCGCCCCATCAAGTAGCAGAAGAACCTATCTTAACATGGCAAGTGGCAAGGCTTTCTCGTCACCAGTGAGGGGAAGATAGGAGCAGAAGAGCCTGGGCGCAACGACCTATTTATATCTTGCAGACGCAGCGAAAATCGAGGCAAAGGAAGAGCAATCACTCTATTCACTGGCACAGAAGGTATTCACTGTCGAGAGCATGAGTCAGACTCCCACTGCAGCCTGTTCTATTCACTTCAGCTGACAAGAAGAAATGAAGTGACAAGCTAGGACCGAAGCCCGACAGAGTTAGCGGTAGACGCATTTGGGGCCTTCATTCAGATGCGAGAACGTTGTCGACCACGTCGACGTTAGGCAAGAAATTGGACCTCTTTTCGATGACTCTCAGCTCGAAGTATCGCCGACTAACCAGGTCCACCAAGACGTCACTTTTGGGCGACGATCTACTGTGAGATTGATCAGTCTCCTCGCCTGTGAGAGCAGTGGCTCCCATCAGCACTCAGTCAGCCGTGAGTACGAACACAGCCAACCATTTGTCAAAGGTATTCGTCCGCATGTGTGCCGGAGCATTCGCAGCGACTATAAACTAGCAGAGTCAGATAGAGTGCTGCGTTTACGAGTGCTCAACACCACTCAATCACGTACCTAGGTAAGTCGCTGGATGTCGAAAATTGCAATCCGAACGCACAAAACTCATGGTTATCAACGAACAGCCGATCAATACGACAACATGCCCGAAGGCCAGCTGGAGTATTCTTCCTGCACTATCTATCACGATACCTTCGATGGTATATTGTCAATCCTTCGAGGCGTCTCTTTCCGGGAAGATGGTGTCACGATGCACAGCAATGACTGCTGACGCTACTCCATTTGCGAGAATGGCCTCGAATGATTAAGTAGGAAGGCACCAGGTATCAGTGAAGACCAAAGCAGTCGACAAGCAGCACCTTGTCAACTCGTCTCAGGCGTCAAGCTTGTCATGATACTGGTAGCTGGAAGAAGTGGGTTCTAATCTATTCTCCTACCCCAATACTGAGTTGACTATGCCAAACCAGAAGGCTACACTTTTGCAGATCACTTGCGACTGTGTTCGCCAGATGGCTGCAGACAACGAGAAGGATGTGAGGCTCCTTCTAGGCGAGAACGATGTGAGGCTGCTTCCAGCTGATAAGGGTCTGAGGCTCCTTCCATTGGAGTCAGATGCAAGGCTCCTTCCAGTCCTGGAATCATGGTGTTGCTGCCAAGGTGATCGTCGCTTCCCGGGGTGCTCAGGCCACTTTATTGTTCCTACCCAGGTATCCACCTGCCTGATTCGAACGTCCCCAACTTGAGAAGTGCCTGACTCCCAGACAGCTAAGGGAGTCAGTGTGGTAGTATGCTAGTGCCTCGTGGCTTGCGCAGACCGCGCCTCGGAAGGCGACATGACCTGTGTATCAGATCAGTCACTGGACAGAACCAAAACTTCGGTCGCTTCTCTTCCAATGAAATGTTGCAATGAGCTCTGCGTACACAGATCTGGTCCAGCAATGTGTGCACGCTTGAGGGACTGGGATTTAAGGGTTGCTGTCCAGCGACCCCTCATTGAGTTATGGCCAACTTCCACATCCGGCAAGGGAATCATCCCGACATTCGTGGCGCGCTCGAAGAGGAAGTTGTAGATGTTGCGCACCTGATAGAAATGAACGAAATGCTACAATACAGGCAGGAGATATACTGCTTTCAGCAGAGAGATGAGAGCATAGACAGCTAGGGCAAGAGGTTGTACATGGCCAAGAGCCAGAGCATTGGTCCAAGTAGCCTTCAAAAATGAGGTGCGAAGACGGTGCGAAAGCAGGTGAGCATCTACGATGGGGATGTTTCAGGCAGACTCCTTCGCCCGGGAACTTGACGCGCACCTGACCGCCTGCGATCGGAAGTATCGGCCACAGGCCATGACGCCTGAGGGCCTAGACTCTCGGAGTCTTCCCTGACGACTATCGTACACGGGCTGCTGCTCTATATCACATGTGTGTCGGACCACTGCGTCAAAGCACCATGTGCTCGACCAGACTGACCCACGACTTTTAGCAACCACCAATTCCTGCAATGAGCCCATGCTTATGAGCTTTCAGACCGACCACTTTTGACGTTGAGGTAGAAGCAGGCTTGACGAGTTGAGGCCTTCCTCACTCTTTGAAGGATTCGGACGGCGGCTGTGCCATAAGAAAATCGAAGTCGCAGCCTTCATGCGCCTGGTTCACCCGTCGTTCATACAATCCGCGATAGCCTCTCTGGCGCTTTCTTGTTAGCCACCTTTGACCATTCCCGCCGGCACCACTCGGATTGTTCTTCCGCTCTTTTCGTCGTCGATCGATTTCGCCACCATCAACCTCGAGCTCCAAACGCCGCTCAGCAACGTCGCAAATGATGCCATCTCCTGTCTGTACCACGCCAAAGACACTATCGAGGTCGGCTGCCTCGGGACTAACATGAAGCACAATCGTGCCGCCTGCTGTCCCGCTCATCCTGCCGTCGGAGATCCGAAGCATGTCGGTCACACCCTGTCGGCCCAACTTCCTCGGGATCGGGATCAGTCCTGCTTCTGGCATGCCCGGGTTGCCGACAGGCCCAATACCTTTGAGTACCAGCACACTGTCTTTTGTGACCTCCAAGTCGTCACTGTCGATGCGATTTGCGAGGTCTTCGCTGTTCTCGAAAACCACTGCGGTTCCTCGGTGCTTGAGCAGGCGCTGGTCTTTGCTCGCACTTTGCTTCATCACCGCGCCGTCCGGAGCCATGTTGCCGTGAAGGACCACCAAGCTGCAGGCTGGCCACAATGGATCTTCTAGTGATCGTACGACCTTGCGTGAGAATTCGAAATCCTTGAATGGGGACTGATCGAGTAGTTCACCTAGAGTCTGTCCGGTGTAAGTTCTGACGTTGAGATGCAGCAATGGCCGCAGTCGATGCATGAGAGCCAGCATGCCACCCGCATTGTGGAAGTCAGTCATGTAGTTGTCTCCTGATGGCTTCAGATCAACCAACAAAGGCGTCTTCCTCCCAATCCTATCGAAGTCCTTCAATGTCAGCTTTCCAGCGACGTCTGGATGTCGATTGATGATCGCCATCAAATGTACGACGGCGTTGGTACTCCCTCCTATCGCTTGCAGCACTGTTATAGCATTCTCGAAGCTCTCCACCGTCAGCAGTTCCTGCGGCTTCACTCCTGCCTGGCCCTCGTCCCGAATCTTGACTAACGCGACAGCTCTTTTGCCCGCCTCTTCTGCCACTCGTCGCCTAGCACTACTTACAGCAGGAGCCGTTGCGCCGCTTCGTAGATCCACCAGTCCCAGACCCGCGACGATGCATGCCATTGTGCTCGCAGTACCCATCACGCCACAAGTGCCGCCTGTAGGCGCCAATTCCTCATTCACCGCCATGATCTCCTCAACGTCCAACTCTCCAGCCCGGAACTTGGCCCAATTGTTCCGACAATCCGTGCACGCGCCTACTCTGACTCCCTGTACAGAGCCAGGCATCATCGGACCGGTCACCAATGGCAGAAACACCTTGTTTGCACTAATCCCACCCATCAACTGCGCCGGCACAGTTTTATCACACCCTCCAATCGCCACAACGCCATCGACTGGCTGCGCGGCGATCATCTCCTCTGTGTCCATCGCCATGAGGTTGCGGAGGTACATGGAGGTTGGCGACGAGAAGGACTCGTGGATCGAGATGGTGGGGAAGTCCACTGGGAGACCGCCGGCGGCAGAGATACCGCGCTTGAGAGACTCGACCAGGTCATTGGCATTGGAGTGGCAGGGATTGAAGGAGGAGTAGGTGTTGATTATGCCGATGATGGGGAGGGAGAGGGCGGCGTCGGTGTAACCAAGGGCTTTGATGAAGACTTTGCGGAGGAAGAGGGAGAAATGAGGATCACCGTACCCAGCAAGTCCCTGTCTCAACCCCGTCTTGCTTGTGATCGGTCGGGACAAGTCGTAATCCGCCAGAATCTCTGGAGGGATCCAGGACGATGCGCCGTTGGCAGTGCCATTTGCTTGCCTCCCTGTAGCGGCTGTGCCAGCGCTATCGCTAGGTGCTTCCGTCAATGGAATGACCGGTGCTTCGGGTCCAGCAGATGAGCTCATGGCTGCACGTTGTGCGTCGGACAGCGAACAGGTATATGCCATGAGAAGACCCGAGGTGCCTCTTCAAAGAGTGGTGGACTGCTTAGCTAAAGTACTGCATGGACTAGCGGAAGCTTTGCGCGGTGTGGTCAGATACTAGCGCTATTAGATGGATCGGCTCCTGCTGTGTCGCCTTGTGGAAGTCGTGCAGAGCGGGCATTGCAAATTGGTGCTTCCGGAATGGCCATCGTGCCGTCGGTGTCATGTTCTCCATGACACCAGTGGATTCGTAGGTGTGGTGGTGCGGGGAGCGCTGGGGCACTCGGCGAGCTTCCGGAAATTTCCAGGCACTGCATTTGGAGATCTGGGACAGAGGGACATTATTTGGTGGAAAATAAATCGCATTGGACGTGTGATCTAGCCGCAAGGGTGATGAGCTGATGGTACACCTATCTGTGCCTGCATAATTGACCGTCTCGCAGTAGACCTTGCCAGAATCAGAGATTCTCGCCCTATTGCTTACTAGTAGTTTCCCTCGTTTTAAGGTCGCCTGAGCTCGCCGGAGCTCGTCCGCAAGCACCCTCAGCTCAAGCCTGCGCCAGCGTATTCATGTCTCCTGCAGTGCGTGACCGTCAGAAGCCGTCCTAGCACCGAGCGCAGATGTCTCATGGTTGGCTCATAGACCATGCATGATATATGTTCTCCTTGAGTGGCTGGCTGGCTGCAAACATCCTGCACAGTCACCACTGACCGACCATATCGACACGACCACTGATCAGGATGCTCGAGATCTCTACGCAGCCAAGAGAGCTCAAGGCTTCTCGAGGGCGAGGCTATCGAAGGACCAGGCTTCAGGAGTGATGTAGGCCACTCTGCATGCAGCTCCATCAGCATTATGTAGAGGAAGTAGTATGTCCCTTGGAGTCGGGACCCTGAAGCGACTGACCCGATTTTTGCCGACAGGTATTGCTCGCCTTCTTTATGTTCTTCGAGAACCTCTTAGCACCCTTGGCAGGAGTTTGAAGCAGATGTATTGGAATACCCTGGCCGTACGACTTGTTCTTTCGTCTCTTGACGCCGGCACCATTAATTATAGGCATTGTCGATTGTTCGGGCCGGTTCGGTCGGGGATCGATGCTTGTCTCGTACTTGTTGCGGTAACGTTGGAGATGGTTGTCCTTGCGAGAATGGTATTGGTAAAGACGACGCAAGTGAGGCGTTCATAGTCGACATATATTCATCAGATACCTCGCCTCGTCCGGCAGTGAGGCAGTGAGGCAGTGAGGCAGTGACTCAGGGTTCCGCCCGGGTTTCGGGCAACTGTCACAGCGGCAACAAAGGACACTGTCACCGGGCAGACAATCCAGCCGCCAGAATGTCTGGGGTAGAATCGCTTTGTTTGTGACATCGGTTCTGTGTCGAGCAGGCTCGTCCATGACACTGCTCGATGCATTGGCCGTCTTCGAATGCAGAGAAGGAATCTATGCCTTCCGAAACAGCACACGTTGGCGTTGGACGTGACAAGGCCAGAACCACATCGGAAGACGGATGTCGATGCGGTATATACGAGTAGTGACAACCCTCCTGGAGGAGGAGCCTCAGACGTGATGATAAAAATGCTGACCACGAAGGACTGGCGTGTCTTTCCACTCCACGGTACGTTTATAGTGGGTGATGATCATCAGCGCGACAGGCCTGGCAGCACGGCTGCGGAGGTGGTGTCGGTGGAATGGTTTTCTGCCGCCCGCTGAAATCTTCACAAGCGCCCACTGAACCACGCTTTGGTGTAGCTTTGATGATGACGCAGAAGGCGCAGACCTCGACGTCTGTCGTTCAACTTGTCAAGAGAACTGCCTGCCATCAGGCGTTCTTGCTATTGTTTGAATCCTCTTGCTTGTCGCTGGGCTTCGCGTCACCCTTGGTCTTTGCATCTAAGTTCGATCCTTCGTTGGCTTTGTCAGACTTTTGCTGCTTCTGTTCACTTGACGGCCGACTGGACGAGTCATTCGCGGCTTTGTGACCTCGACCACCTGATGTTGACCATCCAGGTATCAGCTGATTGCTCCTGCCATCTTTCTCGTTGACCCCCTTCCGCGCGGCTTCCTTACCGCAAACAGGAAGCTGCTTCACTTCCTTCTCCCGGCCTTTTTCAGTGGTCTTGAACGTGTCAGGTATCAGCTTCGGGTCCAGAAGGCCGACTTGCACCAAAACTGTCGCTTGATCCCAGTGGATATGCTCGTGATACAGACGGCCACCTCGGATGCACACAACTGATACAAGTATTACTTCTACCTGTCTGTCCGTCGGAGGGATGCCTGGCAGCATCCATGGGATTTCTGTAGTGTGCCGAAACGAGACCAGCATCTCGTCGACGACCCTGTCAACACCAACTGTGCGCGAGAGTAGCTTCAGCTTCATGGTCTCCGGGTTGTTTGGGATAAAGAACTCGTCGTAGAAGCGAAAGAGCTCTCTGGCTCCTATACCGCCGGTCATAGTCGGAATATGGTTCACGTAGGGTTCTCGAACCATCGTCTTCATCGTGGCCTCGGCATCCTTAGTATCGAATTCCAGCTTGGTGTGATTGTCCCAAATAGCCTCGAGATCCCAGTGATCCTCCATACTGAAAGCTCTTCGAAGTATTCGCAGTGTCCGTGACCATGACACGCGAGCTGCTGTCTTGTCATACTCGTCTAAATCATGTTCTGCGAAGCCTTCGACCGTGTCCTGGTACGTATAAGAGTCCAGTGTGGTGCCAAAATTCTGTGACGACGCCAGATGAACCATCACGGGCAGGGTCCTTGGCCAGCCTGTCGAAGTCCGTGGCATGTAAGGTGGATAGTAGGCCACGACTGCCGCCAGCTTCGGCATTGGATGTATTGCTGCCTCTAGACACAGTGTTGCAGCATCTCCGTAGGCAACTATAGCGTAGTTCTCACCAAGCTCAAGATTGTCGGCCGCGTGGGACAATGTGTTTTGAAAGCTGTTTCGATTGCATCGTAGGCCAGATAGGAAACCTCGAAGCCCTCTAACTGGAAGTGGTTGATAATGTCCTCGTCGAATTCGTCCGTATCAGAGGCAATGATCAGTCTCGCATGCCTGGCCTCAGTCCTCCACGACACCTGCATCCCACCACCTTTCATCTTCTGCCGAATCCTGCCTTTGGCTTCTCGTATTGGATTCTCATCGTTTGGATCAATGACAATGTTTGGGAAGCCTCCCAGCTTAATGTTTACCATGATGACGGAGTTTGATCGGTCTACTTGACTCATACGTCGGTGAGGACAGTGAAAGAGTACACATACTGTTCTGCATCTCGTCCTTGGATACTCATCAAATACCGGTCGTTGGGTAACTTCCCCAGAATCTTGGAAACGAGATGTATGGGTGACGTCATTTCAGCAGGGATGTTTTGGGAGTAGTAATCGACGGCTTTTTCCCGGCGTCTATGGAGTAGCCAAGCATGCTGTTATCAATCGTTCAAAATCCCGTGAGGCAGCAAGCGACGAAGGTGGGAGCAGGTAGGTGCGATGAAGGGGCCGGCAGAGATGCTGCGATATGGGCTCCGGCGTGCCTGTCCATTTCGTCTGAGAGTGCCGCGAAGTCAACTCCGCAACCTTTCGAGCAGAGTACCACCCTTCCTTAATATTCATGAAGAAGTCCAGGATGCACTAAGCAGAGGGAAACCGGTCGTAGCGTTGGAGACCACGATCTACACCCATGGTACAGTTGTGAGATGTTCTGTTGTTCGTCGTACTGACTCTGACCACAGGCTATCCCTATCCAGAGAACGTGGCCCTCTCATCCCGGCTCGAATCGCTTGTGCGCATCCATGGCGGAATCCCAGCTACCGTGGGCATTGTAGACGGCGTAGCTTACGTCGGCATGGACCCAGAGCAGATTATCCAGCTCATATCTACTGCCGGAAGTGCAAATACCATAAAGGTGTCAAGGCGGGACTTGAGCTACATTACTGGCCTTGGTCTTACTGGGAGGAAACTCAACGGTGGTACCACAATATCCGGTACAATGGTTCTGGCACATCTGGCTGGCATAAAAGTCTTTGCTACTGGAGGTTTGGGTGGTGTTCATCGAGGTGCAGAGAACAGCATGGATATCTCGGCTGACCTGACGGAGCTTGGCCGCACACCCGTGGCGGTGATCAGCGCGGGCTGCAAGAGCATTCTTGATATTGGCCGAACGATCGAGTATCTTGAGACTCAGGGAGTGCCTACAGCGACGTTCGCCGATGGCCGTTCCGGCAATGTCGACTTTCCCGGCTTCTGGACCCGCGATAGCGGATTCAAAAGCCCTGTGACGATCCAGAATGAAGCTGAGGCTGCTGCCATGATATATGCTCAGACCTTGTTGCCTGTACATACAGGGTTCGTCTTCGCGAATCCCGTTCCTGCTGAATCCGCACTGGACAAGGTACAGGTTGACGGCTATATCACGCAAGCTGTGCGTGAAGCTGAGGAGAAGGGCGTGATTGGGAATGCCAACACACCGTTTCTGCTGAAGAGAATTCGCGAGCTGAGCGACGGCTTGACTGTGACAGCCAATACCGCACTGGTTGAAGCGAACATTATTCGAGGTACAAAAGTCGCTGTTGAATTGGCTAAACTGGAGAACGGTGCTGGCGCTCGGTCTCGGTGAGCACGAGTATGTCGCAGCGTGTGTGCGAGGCTGATTGCGAAGCAGTCATCAGCCTCAGATCTCGGTTCCATTAGCAAGGACAGAGCAGGCGATGTCCCCGGAGAAGCCTTCGCCAAAGGATAAAGGACAGGTCGACCTACTTGTCGTCGGAGCTGTCGCCAGTGACACAATTTGCGACTATGCACCCTATAGCACGTCTCTTGCGCCAGCGCCTGTTCTGCAGACGTCCAATCCAGCCAGAATAGGTCAGTCCGCGGGAGGTGTGGGCCGTAATGTGGCTGTTGCAGCCCATTATGCTGGCGCCCGTACCGCTTTGGCCAGTGTCGTAGCGGATGACATTGCAGGGCAATCTCTTCTCCGTCATATAAATGATGTAGGTCTATCGAATGCTTACCTTGAGACTGTCAGCTCAGCTGAGGCCACGACAGCCCAATATGTTGCAGTCAACGATGCCCGGAAAGACCTAGTGCTGGCAATGGCAGACATGACGATCTTTGGGAGGCCGGAACTGGAGCAGCAGTCACACTGGGACGGTATACTGGACAGGAGTCGTCCAAAGTGGCTCGTCGTCGATGGCAACTGGTCTGCCCCTATAATGAAATCCATCTTCGGAGCAGCACGAGCACGCAGAATACCCATAACATTCGAGCCAGTCTCTACGGCCAAGTCGATCACGATCTTTGATAAACGATATCCCGCGGTTAGTCTAAAGGATTGCTTACCACGACACGCTCTGAACCTCATTACGCCAAACCAATTCGAATTGGCCGCCATGCATACTGCCGCTCGTGAGAATGGTCACTTCGATTCACAGGAGTGGTGGACTGCTGTCGACAGCTTCGGGCTCTCGAGCTCAGGTACGCGCGAGAAGTTCGCTCACATCGCAAGCTCGGCTCTGGTCGAGCAAGGCATCCCACAACAATGTATGCAGTTGCTGCCCTTTGTTCCCAACATCGTGACAAAGCTGGGTAGCGAAGGAGTTTTGCTTGCACAAGTCATACGAGAAAACGATCCACGGCTGCGGGATCCTGATTCATCCCAGTATATTGTTTCAAGATGCCTGGACAGTACTCTGCCTGAAATTGGTGGAATCTATATGAGACTCTTCCCACCGAGCGCCAGGGTGCCAGACGATGAGATCGTAAGTGTCAATGGAATCGGCGACACAATGCTTGGGACTATCATGGCTGGTCTTGTCAACGGCAGAACATTGGAGCAAGTTCTGCCTATCGCGCAGGAAGCGGCTGTGCTGTCGTTGAAAAGCAAGGAAGCAGTCTCGTCCGAAGTACGGCAGATCGCAGCTCGCTTACGATGAACATTCGTATCTGGATAGTTCCCACCATTGCAAAAGGTACGCCAGTCATCCTTAGTGTCCAGGAGCCTCAGGACAAGCAGCGGCAGCAAGGGACACACAGAGAAGTGGTGATGGGATCGATCGAACATTGAATCGTAAGCTATGCAACGTCCAATCGGCAGGCATTTCTATCGCGTTGCGCCTTCTTGTTCAGCTGCCTAGCGCACCAATCCCTCAAGATTCCACGGCCTTCAGCACAGCAGTACTCGCGAGCACCATGTTGGTTGTCTCGCAGTCGTTCCCGTCTGTAACACAGTAGGTTAGCCTCGACTTGCACCTAGGATACGATCCGGACCTACCGGAGCCTGAGTACGCTTTGTGCACCTGACTGGTCCCCTTCGATGTGTTCGAACTCGGTGGTTGTTCAGGCGGAAACGGATTCATCATCGACCTCGTCCTTGACGTCGTTGTCGCCGTCGCCATCATCATCCTTTGGCTCTTCTTTGACCTTCGACTCGTCACCCTCTGCCGCCTTTGACTTCTTCTTGGCTGGAGTCTTTGCCTTGTCAGTGCCATTAGCCTTTCGCTTCTTCGGAGTGGCCGGGGCAGCTTCAGCAGTGTCGCTATTGGCGCCGACAGCTAAGCCAGCATCGTTGCAGATGTCTTCGTATGCTTTCTGCCACTCCTTCTTGATAGCTAGGTAGCGACTGCGACTATGCATGACTGGTCAGCGGCGCATTCACGTGGTCCTCAGGGATGACTTGCGTGGTAGAACCAGGCTCTCCGAGCTCTTTGGCGATCGCTGGATGTTCGGCTCCTGGGCGTGTTGAATGACAAGATGAAGGGTGATGGCCTTCTTCTTGTCGTTGGGGAGTGACTTAAAATTTTTGCCGAGCGACATCTTGGGGAAAGGTGTGGAATGGATCGGACGAAGTTTGAATGGTGTGAAGGCGTGCTTAGGATACGTGCGACAGTGGACGAGAATAGCAGGAAGGATGAGAAGAGGAGGCAGAAGATACAGGAGCGAAGAGAGATATTTATGATTGAAGACGACGACCACGAGGCTGCACCATTTGACGCTCGAGTGGATCAATTGCCTTTCGCTTCACTCCCTATTGTGCCGATTTCGATGAGACTGACTTCAAGCAGATTGTCACTAAGCTCTCAGCCATGATCCAAGGCCAACTTTCAACTGTTGACGAAGCTCTCCATGCCCTTATGGGCGGATTTCAGCAAGCCTGTATTCGAATCCATCATCATTGTCTCTGTGTACGGTCTCTAGAAATCTGGAGTTATGGGACTTCCTGGTCAGTCATCGGTCAAGTCGACGAAGTTGTCGGCCTCATGCTTGATAATAACATCCTTCAACTCTTCGTCTTCCTCCTTGGTAATCTGAACATTGACGTCGTCTTCCTCGTCTTCGTCTGGCGCGAACTCTGGGGCTGGCGTTTTGTGACGACCAAGCGACTTCTCGATGCCGGAGGTGCCAGAGGTTTCTCCAGCTGCGTGCGCGTACTTCTTCTTCAGCTTGCGACGGATCTCGGCTAGGTGGTTTTGTCTTCACGAAGTCAGTCTACTTCTCAGTCTACTTCGAGATAGCAGATGTTGGAGGTAAAGGTTACATACGCAGTACTCCTGCCACAGCCGACCAAATCAGCAACATTCTGGTTGGTGGGCTTGAGTTTGCGTTCAAGGAGGAAGACCATCGCCTCGAGGATCTCGACTTTCGACGTCTTCGTTGGCGACATCGTTATGGTGAGCGGGACGTCCAAGGTGCTCGGTGGCTCTTGTGGATAACTTGCAAATACCAGATAGGATGTGGAGGGCGGCGAGGAGAGAATCCCGGACAGTAAGATGCAAGAAGACGAGGTCATGAACCGATCTGAGAACCGGAAGTGCGTTCTCTCTACCATCACTTGACTTCACTACATCCATAGCTCCGCTACCTCCGGCTCATAGCAGGCTGCAATTGCTGCTAGCGCCAACCTTTTCACTGCTCAGTCAGTAAGGCGCGACTTCTAGCACATCCGCACCCATTGATTTAGCTTGGACTGTCACGAGCTGGGCTAACAATGTCATGACAGGCAGGAGATTAAGTGATGCATTTCATTTGTGTTGAGAGGACGCTTATGACCTCGATCTCGGCTAAGGTCCATCAGGAGCTGTCTGTCCATGGTCACGTTGAAGGTGGCTTGCACAGCTACAGCGGTGTCGTGTACTAACGCTTGCTGGCTTCCTCCTATGCTCGTGCTTCCCTAACACCCGGGAGTTGCGAGTGCGTTCTGGAAGTCTATGACGAGAACATAGCCATCCTACTCGCGGTCCTCCTCTGCAGCCTCGCCGTTGACCTCAGCGTAACCACTATCCTCGGCCTTGGCGGGAACGTCGAGCTCACTATCCTCGGCCTTGATGGGAGCATCAAGCTTACCCTTCTTGGCGGCACGACCAGCTTTGTCACCAGCCTTAGGAACACGCTTGCGCTTCGGAGCAGCGGGAGCAGCCTCGGCGTCAGCGGCACCAGGAAGATTGAACTCAGGGAACATGGCATCGAGCTTCTCGGTGACGTGCTTGAAACGAGTGCAGCTAGGTTTCTGTTAGAAGCGTTACAACATTGGGTGTTCTGAAATACTAACGAGGAGGATTGGCTGACGTTGAGAGCGGCGGCCAGGTCTTTGTTGCGCGGCTTGTTCTCAGTGATCTTGATGTAGGCCCAGAGTGTCTTGAGCTCCTCATGGGAGAGTGTGGCGGTGGGGGTAGACATCGTGTGTGGTTGGGTGGTGGTACGTGGAAGAGAACTCAAGTGGATGAAGAGGTTTGTGGTCGGAAGACGAATTCGATGGGAAGAAAGAAAGAAGTAAAGAAGAGAATTTGGCAGTGGAATTTATGATTGATTCGGTTTGCTCTGTGGGGTCCTTCGAGTGACGCTGCTACGAGTCATGGCAGCTACTTCAATATGCTAAGAGCACGTCATCGCTGCTATCCTGTGTGTGACGCACTGGACGAGACTATGGTGAGTGACGCTCAAGCTTCAGGTTCCGCCTTGACGGCCTCCTCGTAACTGATGGCAGCAGCAGTCTTCTCGCTCCGGGCAGCGACATCACTCTCCTCGCCCTCCACAGCGTCCTCCTCGACCTTAGCCTTCTTGGAAGCAGCCTTTCCGGCACTTTTGGGATCGCGCTTGCGCTTGGATTTGGCAGGAGTGGCCGGAGCAGCATCAGGGAGGCCTCCACCAGAGAACTTTCCATCTTCGCCGATTTCGCCAAACTTCTCCTTGCATTTCTCCATGATGACGCTGACGCGGTAGCCACTACATCATGTCAGCAATGTACCCACAGGGAGGACTCTGGCTTACGCAGTGGTGTTCTTGAGATCCATGGCTTTAGCGATGTCGGCCTGACGAGGCTTGCCGGACGAGAGCGAGTACATGGCGTACAGGAGCTTGAGATCGTCGTCTGAGCCGAGAGCGGGGGCCATCTTGGGCAGCGTGGTACTGGAAGTCGGATGGGAGAACAACTTCGAAGACTGTCAAGTGGAAAAGGTGGTTGTAGAAGATGTGCAGTGTTGCAGACTCGAGAGAGGAATTTATAGGCCTGCAGAGGAAGATTGCAAGCAGGCAGCGCAGGCTTGGCGCGGAGCCTTTGCAACTTCACTGTTTGACATTGCCCCTCCTTCTCTGCTTGCTTGTGAGCCGCACTGCAACTGCAGCTGCGTCTCCCAAGAGTCTGAAGCTGGAACTGAGACCAAAATGACCCAAAATGAAGTATTTCAAAGAAAATTTATGCCAAGACGGCAGCCACCCCTAGCGTGACGCCTCGTTGCCTTATTTCCATGTTGAGCTTTTGTGCACCCTCCACCCCTTGAGCACTGCACTGCATTGCAGCCACAGAGTGCTCCAGGTATAGTCAAAGAACTGATTGCTTGTAGCACAAAAGAGATGGAGGTGTTTCAAAGCGACAGTCGGCCATGAGTGCTCCGCTCCCCTTGTCGAAGCGACTTCTTTGTCTACGAATAGATGACATCTACGGTCTGTGCGCATTGTGCCGTACACTCAACTTCAGCAGAGCATATGCTATAACAGTCGTCAGAGGCCGCCTCGGGGCGTTTGATAGGCTGTGTGCACACTCATAATCATCTCGCTGGCAGAGATTGTCTCATTCAAATTTCTATTCTTTTCGTTTCGCGATGCATTTCCCCATTCCTGCCTTCCTTGGCGCACTGCTGCTGGCAGCAAGTGTGTCCGCCGGCCCCTTCCACTACTCAAAGTTTGACAAGTCGATCGACGTACAGTCGACCTCAGAGACTTATACGCGCCCCAGTCCTGCAGTCATAGGCTTTCCTCCCGCCAATACTGACTTCGAAGCAGGTGAGCAAGTATACACCGCAGCCGTCAAGGCTAACTTCAACATGCCGCGTGATGTCGAGGATCAGTCAAGCAACGATCACGGTAAGGCCCGTAGGAAAATACTGCTCGATAAAATTATTCAGTATGTCAAGTCTGGTAAGGGTTCGAAGACGAATGCAGCGATGTATCAGGACGTTGGTGGCGATCCCGGTGATGGCACTTGGGGTTGATTATCGATTGGCATGACGGGTTCTCGCGGCCTCGAATGGCTGTAGCACACTCGACAATCCGTTCTGGTTTTGTTTAACAAGCTTAGTTCTTATCGAGTTCAGATGCTGGACATCGGCTTGAAAATTTGAAGCATATAATAATTGCCCTCGTGGTCGTGGTTGTGTTGGTTGTGCTTGACAATCGCCAGCACACTGCAGACCGCGATAGGCTCCGGAGCACTCATCTCCAGTGACACGACTTTCGTATAAGATAGTTGATCTCAAGCCGCCGATGGCGGCCAATTTTCACAGATCGTGTCACTTGACAGCTTAGCATGCTTGACTCTCGAAAATTAGGAAGTCCTCTCACCTGAGCAGATAGTCAATGCGGGCACGGTCCACACCCTCCAGGGTCTCTCACTTAACTCTCAGACTCATCTGCTTGCTCTGAGATCTCGTGTTGGTGAACAATAAGAGATGTTCCTTCACTGTGATGCCTGCGGCTTGTGACGGTCTCTGAGGCAGTCAGTGAATGTTTGACACAGATCTCTTGCCTATATAGATACCTCTCCTCCAGCGACCATTTCACTCCAATGCTCCATCTGTCCACCAAGTACCTCCGCAGTGATAGTGCTTCCGACTCGATTGAACCAGCCCAAACCTAGACACCAGATTGTCCACTCGCAAGATGAAGACCAACGTCTTCCTTACCCTCCTGTTCGGGGTCCTGGCCTTCGTCGTCGGCATCAAAGCCTCCGACGAGCAGGCCACTTCCTCCAGGAACTCACACGGCACTTCACATGGCTCTTCAATGGAGACTGGAGATTTCCCTGGTAAGACTTCCACCGCTCATTACCCTTCGCACGTTGAGCTCGCTCTAACTCTTGTCAGATCCTCGTCCGACATCCATCAGCTCCCACGGCATTCCACATGGCTCTCCCATCGAGACTGGACTCCCGCGTAAGAACCCACCTTTGTCCATCATTCTGATCATATCGAGCTCACACTGACCGCTGCCAGATCCTCGACCTACCAATCACTCCACCACTAGCACTGGTGTATCATGGGAGGCTTCTCAAGCTTCTGACCCAAACATCCCTCCGTGGACCGCTCCTGCTCCTGAGCCGTTCAGCGCTCCCTTCACCACCCACACTCCTGGCTCGGTCATTCCTACTTTCACCACCCACACCCGGACCCAGACGCGTCCTCATGGCTCTCACAACACCACTCATACCAGTCATACCAGCACCTTCAGCAAGCCCGTCTTTCCCCCTATGCTGCGCGAGGAGGCGAAGAAAGTGCGGTGCTGACGATAAGCTTATGAGTATGACGTCCCGTTGCGAAGGCCACAAATTCTATGCTTGCTGCCCCAAAGGTTATCAAGATCTCTTCGACGAGGACTGTGTCGGCTTGCCCTCTTGCAAGCAGAAGGGCAAGTCTTCCGACAAGGACTGGCGCAAGTGGAAGGGCGTTACTCCCAACGGCTGTGTCAACTGTGCGGACGGTTATTCTGCAACTCCATTCTTCTATGGCGGCTGCATGGCTGATCCTCTGCCGGACGACTTCAAGGTATGTATTGGTGCTTTCCGACTGAATGTCTTGAGATTGCGGTGATAATGTGCTAACATGTCTGTGCTGTAGGACGGGAAGTGCACCGGTCCGACGGGCAATAAGTGCTGAGCGCGGGTCGATCGCGGGCATCAAGACTCGCCATAACACGGCCCGACAACGACGGCCGACGACGGCTCATCACCTGCGCAAGCGGTGTCGCCTTCCCCGTCAGCCATGTTCTTATCATCGGAGAGCACTTGTAGCCCAGGCGACGCATACCACCGGAACGAACCCAATATCGATAGAAAGCAAAAACATACCTTCCAAGAGTGTCAGCCTCACACCGGTATCTGGAGTGGACTGCATGGCGCTCCGCCGCATTTATTAGAGTGAGAGATGGATGATAGATAGATAGGATGACCAACCAAAACAATCATGACCACGTTGCAAAAAAGCTCAATATACCGAGTCGACTTCGCTGTAAGTTTCATTCTAAGGTAGCAAGGTTCAGCGACTAGGGATGCGAGCCGACCTGGGGCTTCTTTCCGTCAACGTACGATTTAGTGATCATGTGCAAGGAAGGAGCAGTAAGAAGAGCAAGAATACAATACCATCTGACGGCGTTGTCGCGCCGCCTAACGGAAGGCGCTCTTGCCAAGCAAGGCGAATTTGATCCTGTAGGCCCAGCGCCGGTAAGTCCACGACATGGCAGGAGCTACAGGAGCCATCAGGAAGAAGCAAGCCCTCTCCAGTATATAAGTTCAGTTGTCATTCATCGAGCTATCCGCGGAGTAGTGGTAGGAGTAGTCCTGGGGTATGGTGCATTCCCATCGCACGAAAACTTCCTTCGTAACGCCAACCAAAACAAAACCATCATTCATTCAAGGCAATCTCTTCCAACACAGATGGTGTATCGAGACCTCGAGTGATCAACTATTTGTCATGATAGACAGTAAACCAGAAAAGATGAGTTTCCGCGTGCGATCTTTCGTGAGCACCTGTCTCGAGAGAAAAGGATATGAGACAATCGATGACGGCAATGACAGCAATGACTTCCGTGAAGAACGACCCGGCGCAAGGAGACCATGGTGGTGCGGATGGTCACATCGCGTCAAACGATCCCTGGCCCAAACATAAATCTCCGTAGGGCAACGCGTTCAGCACGCGTCGCGCTCGAGCCACCTATGTTTTTGCTTTGTCATGACGGATTTAGACGACGACCTTGGGCTTGCGGCCACGCTTGCCATCAGTGCCCTTCATCTCCTTGGTGCCAGCAGCCTTCTTTGCGGGGTTCTTGGTAACCTTCTGCAGACACGAAGTTAGCACTGCATCACGACTCGAGGAATTACTGCGTCATTCGGAGCAGCAGACACGAGCGACGACGAGCGGCCGCTCTGCGCATCGTCGTCTCATCGATCTGATATCACCATAGCCGCCTGACTGTGACACAGCTGGGAAGTGAACTTACGCCCTCGGCCTTCTTGACAGCACCTGCGACTTTATCCTTGACGGAGGTCTTGCGCTTTTGCGTCTTTGGCTTGGTGACACCAGTGGTAGTCTTCTTGGTGGTTGGCGCGCGCTTCTTGCCCACAGTCCTCTTCTGGACCGGGTCGGTGGAGACAGACGTGAAGACGCGGGGCTTGGAATTGCCAGTGGCAGCGCGAGTGGAGGCCATTTCAACGTATGGGTGGTTGGGTGGGTGTTTGAGAATAGTTATTCGAGCTATTGACTAGTGAAGTGTTAGCTAGAGTCAAGGTAGAGCATGCGCGACAGGAAAGAGGATGACGCGGTCCTGGTGCAAGGCGGGGCGCGTCGCCATATAACAGGCGCCAACTTGTGCTAATGGACGCGGAATGATGGTCGAAGAAGATGAGTGCTTTTACACGTGCAGAAGATTGCACACGAGCTGCCTTGTAAGTTTTCATGCGCTGGCGCCGATGTAGTGCTGCCCAACAGACGTGTTGGCGGTGGGCGATGATGACAACAAGGAGATCAGTTCGACGCGATAAGGAGTGCGTACCTAGTGAAGACGAAGTCGCGAAGACTTGTGATTGCGAACACTTGACGATAAGTAAGACGCGACCGAGTTGGCGCAATTGCAAGAATTGGCGACGTGTTCTGGTGGTATGAGAAGTTGAGAGAAGGAGGGAAGGAAGGTCGAGTGAGGTTGTCAAAGCGGAGAAGAAGAGGGAATCCCAGGCGCTCAGACTCTCGGTCGCGCGATCGCCCCTAAATCAAAACACAACAACTCTGAACTCGCCAACTCAGCCACTTTTCTGATTTGCGATTGTCCCTTTCTCAATCTTCGATACATGTTGTCGACGATAGCGTAACCGAATTTATTATTGCAGTGATCGTGGTTCAATTGTCTTCGTCGCATATTCAGTACAAGCTCCCCACGCGAGCAGGCGCTGGATAGCGTCGCAATTACTGAATAGCCGCTCAACGTTGTCGCACCGGAAACGTCGTATTTGTTGGCCGTTGGTAATCAGCACATGCTGAAATATGCGCTTTGCGACTTCTGATCAGTCCCACCAGTCCTTCAGAGGTATCTGTTTATGCTCAGGACCACCAGAGAGTTCCCAGGCATTGCGCACTTCCCATTCAAACTCGGCCAATGCTCGCAACTCGGAACCCATAAACAGCCCTCCGATGAGGCCGTCTATCGTGCCTGCCATGATGCCAAACGTACTTACAATGAGCAGGATGAACGAAACAAAATTCCGGGGTGACCACCAGATTGCGACAAAGGATCCGATAGACACGACGGAGGCGACCACAAAATGCGACAGTCGCCATCGTCGTTGCTTGCGCTCCCGAAGCTTGTACGCTTCGACCATCTTGAGGATTTGTTCATAGAATTCGGTACCGACTTCGACCTTAGTTGGATTCTTGGACAGTGCCTTCTCGAGACTTTCGGTGTCCATCGCGATAACTTCCGTGCTAGCTCGACTTCGAGTGCTTCTCAGGGGACGACTTGCGGTAAGCGTCTCTTCGGGCTGAGGCGCGATCTCTGTGCGCTTCAATACCGCCCGCACGGCCAAGTGATCGCTCAAGGTGCAACGCAAGGTAGGATGCCTTCCTGTCATTGTCACAGATGCCTCGTGAACAGCCCAGCCCGAGTCGAAGCCGTTGAAGAAGATGTAGTCCAGCCGCTTCGCATGTGAATCGGGATCGCCGAGTCCTATCTCACGATCTCTGCCCTTCTCCAGTGCTTTCCGATCCTCCTTGCTCCATCTCCAGGTGTTGACGACAGTGTCGCATGTATGGCCGTGGTAGTGAATACTTTCCTGAACGTCAGGAACTTCCTTCTCGCCCAACTTACGTCTGCGTTCCTGCTCGGGTGGGTCGATGCTTGCACCAATGCTGCTGCCAGGTGTCATGAATCTCCACACATCTCGAACAGCACCTCTATCCTCGATGAGCACATGAGCAAAGCTGAGTGGGATCATGTTAAAATCGCCCAAGCCTAGTACAAGACTGCCTCGATCTGTGGCTGCTCGCATCAGCTTCGCAATCTCCCATGCTTGTGCGGTGCGGTGGCAGATGTAGCTGTCATTCGGTTCTCGTTCGTACGGTGCGTGTAGGTGTGTGTTGAACACTTCGATCGGAGACCCGTCTGGCGGCTGGATCTTCGCACATGCTACACCCTTTCCAACGTACCAGTCGCCTCTGAAGAACGCTGTTGGACGCCCATTGAGTGTATAGCGATGCATGGTAGAGTCGCGAATAGGCCAACGACTAAAGATGGCAAGACCTCCGCCAAAGATACCAGAGTGATAGAACTTGGAGTACGGCAAGACATCTCGGATAGTTGTACTGATCTCTTGATAGTCGGAATAAGTCCAGCATTCTTGTAGCCCAACTATATCCAATGGCGGATCATGTCTGGCAAGCTCTCGTCCAATCTCTGCCATTCGCTCCTTCCTGTATTTGCTGATGTACTTCAGGCCCCAGCAGTTCAACGTCAAGACGTGGAGTGATGACATCGACGCCGGCTTGACAGGCTCAGTCTTGTTGTTGGACATATCTTAGACCGGTTGACGCAACCGGCAGCTTGCCAAGGTGAACAGTGGCGTTAAGCCTGACTGGTAATTGTAGGCAAAGTAAGCGTTCGATTAGAGCTGGCAGCTAGTCTCAGCCGTCTGCATGAATGCATGATCCTCTGCAATCAGTAAACACTGTGCCGAACTGGCACTGTCGTCGATGTAGGAAGAGAAGTCATGATGAAAAGAAAGACCGAAGATCCACAGATGACGCCAAGACTGCTCCACACGCGCCGGTTGACTAGAGTTGCCTCAACGGACCTCGAATAACCCGTACACTATTCGTACTTGAAGGAAGGCCGGGCAACTCGCCTGCCTAATTGGGACTTCAATCTGGCGCGACTTGGCCTGTCAAAACGTTTTTGACAGCAACTGTTGCATGCGTCTGACGCGCGCCAAGATCCTTGCCCTACTGTCTGTACCTGCAGGCGATCTGGATGCCTTGTTCGTCAACACCTAATTGAGTACATGCTCGGGGTCAAATTCGCACGAACCGCGGGAGCTGCGCATATGTGGAATCACCCGGATTCCGCGTCGCAACGATGGCGCACGATATGGACCTGACGGAAGCCGAGCGCTGGCAACGTCAAGTCGCGGAGGGCGAGAAGCCATTCTCAAAAGCGCCCTACCCTACTCCTCCGCCCTTCTGGAAGCACTTTACACGCGCCAATATCGAGCGCTTGAAGAGCGCCCCAGCCGATGAGCCACTGCCTTATGACCTTCTTGTCCTCCGACCGCCGCCTCCACCGCCACCGTCGCACGACAGCTACCTCGCTTTCGACAAGCCGAATCCGATCGATACTACGCCTGAGCTTCCCTCTGCGGACACGCTTCTGTTCGATCCGTCCGATCCTGATCTGAACCATGCGGTAGTTCTTAGCCGGTTGACGAAGTCCCTTCTCCTGAACTTTCTGGAGTTCTCGGCCATCCTTGCAGATGCGCCGACCGAAAGAGACGAGAAGATGGAGGATATCCAGCGCTTGGTCAAGAATATCATCGTGGTAATCAACATGTATCGGCCGCATCAGGCGCGGGAAAGTGTCAAGGAGATGTTGCAGGGGATGCTGGATGATGGGCAGAGGGAGATTGATGAGAGTGATCGGTTGCAAGGGGAGGTGAAGGGGTTCTTGGAGAGCGTGCAGGCGTGGAATGAGGATGCTACAAAGACAGCGAACGCCAACGGGTTGATTCATACGAACGGGCACAACACTCAGAATGGAACTAGCGATGAGGAGAGTGCTGAGGTCACAGAGGCACGCAGACTGTGGAGGATCGTCCACGATGTTGCTGGGGAAGAAGTTTCAACATGATCCTGATCTAGGTCTATCCAATCTTGAAGAGTCTGCTTGATCAGACTTTGATCTCCGTGGCGGTGACGCCCTCCATCTGGTCCTTATATGGTGCGAGCGCTGGCTCCACCACGGCTTCCACGAACTCTTGAACCTGCTGGGGAGCACGGCCGACAAAGTTAGCTGGATTGAGCAGTTTCTCGGGCGTCAAATCGTCCCAGATTGGCTTGAAATAATCGTCTTGCCGTACTCGCTCGACTAGGTCGTTCGGCTTGCCCTCCTGCTTCACGACAGCACCTGCCTCGTGGCTGAGTACTCGAATGGCTTCGTGGGCTTCTTGTCGACTGCCCTCCTTCTCGACCATTGCCATAATCATCGATTCGGTGGCCATGAAGGGCAGCTCGGCCTGCAGCCGCATGTTGATGACTGCAGGATAGACTACCAAGCCGGAGGAGACGTTATCGAGGAGGATGCAGAGGCGTCTGCCAGAAGGAACATTTCCGGAATGTCGATGCGCCGAATGGCCGAGTCGTCTAAGGATCGCTCGAACCATTGATGGGCGTATGTCTGCGCAAATCCTTGGTTCAGTGTCTGCAGCTTGCGGGCGAGGGAGCAGATACGCTCTGACCGCATTGGATTGCGCTTGTATGCCATGGCTGACGAGCCAATCTGGTCTTTCTCAAATGGCTCCTCGAGCTCCTTGAATGTGGCTAAGAGGCGGATTGTGGTGGCGATGTGTTCGCATGTCGTGCCAAACGAGGTGAGGGCGTTAGAGACGTCGACATCAGTTTTGCGGTTATAAGTCTGGATGCTGATGATCGAGTGGTTTTTGAAGCCTGCCTTGGCTGTGACGAGGTCATCGAGCTTCTTGACTTTGTCGTGGTCATCCTTGAAGATCTGCAGGAACGAAGCCTGAGACCCGGTTGTGCCTTTGACACCTCGGAAGACTAGGTCGTCTCGGGCGCGTTCGAGATTGCGGAGGTCCATCAACAAGCTCTCGACCCACTGAGCAGCTCTTCGTCCGACAGTGATAGGTTGTGCTGGCTGACCATGCGTATAGCCCAGGCAAGCGAGCGACCGATGCTCGAGCGAAAAGTCTGAGAGCTTTTTGATGCACTTGGCGAGTTTTGGTAACAGAATGTTCAGCCCGTCTCGTAGGAAGATCAAATCAGCATTGTCGGTAACATAGCAACTCGTGGCACCCCAGTGGATGATCTTCTCAGCGGCCGGCGCCCTCAGACCATAAGCATACACATGCGCCATGACATCGTGTCTTCGCCGCTTCTCCTCTTCCGCCGCAATCGGAAAGTCTTCGTCGGAAAATACCTGGGCGGCCTTCATCTGGGTGATCGCTTCATCCGATATTGCAAGTCCCAGCTCCTGCTCGGCCTCTGCAAGCCAGATCCATAGTTGGCGCCAGGTGGACGCCCTTGTGCGTGGGGAGAAAAGTTTTAGCATTGCTTGGGAGGCATATCGCGATCCCAAGGGATTCTGCCAGACATCGTTGGGGTTGGAGGCCATGTCGTCGGCCTTGTCCGGATCACGCAACCTACACTGTGTTATCCAATCGCAGCTTGCACGGATAGCAGACTTTCCAAGGATGAGGTCGGTATCGATTTGACTCGAAGAAGGTAAAAAAAAGTGCCAGAAGACAAGTGGCTGCCCCACTAATCTTTCAAGTTCTTGGCCTCGAGTGGAGTCACTAGGCCAGCGCCCGCCTGAGCTAGTGTAAGGCACAAGGCAACCGCGAGTGAGACTCGTTCCCGAATTCGAAAGGCGCTCCTGCCTCCGACACTCACTAGCGTCGGTTGCCTACTTCCGCCTGCTCGTACAGACGAAATTGCGTGGCTTCCGAAATCATCATGAGAAACGTCCACAACCACAAATACTGCACACTCCTTCACATAGTCTGATTTCTTTCTTCGTCGACTTCCTTTTGAAACTTTGCATTCAGAGTCCAACTGCTGAAGGCCGCCTGCCGCCAAAACCGAAGCCAATTCGTCCTCAGTCGATTGGACAAGATGGAGCTCCCTCAGATTCCGACAGTCATCGAACAATACCTGTTCGAGATCGAAAAGTGCAAGGACCACGAGGAGATCCAGTCCGCCACGAGACCCTACGTTGTCTACGAGAACAAGCTTCGCGAGATCTTTGCTCAGCAACCTGATCATCCGGCTGTGGCAAAGTCTCACCTTGTAGGACTGTTCCACAAGGACAACCCGACACCAAAAGCTCAGCCTCGCCTACCGGACAAGCAGAGTGATGAGATTCGAGACAAATACCTCTTGCCGATCCCGAACACCGACCGCAAACACCCTGGCGATGCCGCTGTCGTTCAAAGCATTGCTCAATTTAAGACCAATTTCAATGTTTTCAGCGAGTCATCCCTTATCGATCTCGATTGGAGCAATGTCGTGGCTGCAGGCAGTAGCGTCGTGACCGCTTTGCTGCCAGTGCCTTTACCTCACAATGAGTCGAAACGCACCCAGCGTGCATACTATCACCAGACCCTGGCTCCTGCCTCGGATGTCGATCTGTTCATATACGGTCTCAATGAAGAGGAAGCAGTGGAGAAGATCAAGTCCATCGAGCGGGCTGTCCGAGACAGCATCCTGAGCGAAACGACCACGATTCGCACCAAGAATGCCATCACCATTGCATCCGAATATCCGACTCGTCACGTTCAGATCGTCCTTCGACTCTACAAAAGCGTTACAGAAATCTTGACAGGCTTCGATGTTGACTGCTCGGCGGTGGCATACGACGGCACTCAAGTCTGGTGTTCGCCTCGTGCATTGGCTGCTTTCAAGACCCAAATCAACACGGTCGATCTCACTAGACGCTCTCCATCTTACGAGAATCGTCTCTCAAAGTATTCACACCGCGGCTTCGAAGTCTATTGGCCATCTCTCGATCGTTCCAGGGTTGACCCCACAATCTACGAACGCTCCTTCTCTCGCGTCCTTGGTCTAGCCAGACTGCTGGTTCTCGAGAAGCTGCCACATCCAAACGATCGCGACACATATCTTACTCAGCGACGCGCAGAGCGTGGTCGTCCGCCTCTTCCGTGGAATCATCGATTTCGCCACGCCCTTGCTGGCAACGTGAAGGACTCCCAGCCAGATGATGTGGCAGAGTGGGTCGAGGGTGATGAGGTTTCCAACTATCACAGCTTCACGATTCCTTACGGGCCTAAATACTCCGCTAAGCGGATTGAGAAGCTATTGTTCACCAAAGACCTCTTGCTCAATGCGGCGGAATGGAACCGGCCGAAGAAGCGTGAGACTACTTTGCACCGCCATGTACGTATTCCCTGTAGACCTGAGATGGCCGAGACATCGATCTCCTGGCTCTGGCTTTTTCTTGATACACATTCATTCTAACAGTTGCTATAGCCTGCCTTCTTCGGATCGGTCGATGAGGTGATTCACGACTGCTGTGGTTACTGCCCCAAGCCAGAGACAGATGAAGACTTCGCTGCATACGAGGAAGAAAGCAAGACTTTCATCTCTGGGAACATGACATTTCTCAAGGATGACCCAGGACGTCAGGCTGTCGGTAGTTTCCATCCATTGACTGACGAAGACTGGACGGAGCAGGCATACGTAGGTAACACTACGGTCCTTTGTCAAGCTATCGTCGACCACGATCTAGAAACCGTCGAAGACTGGTTCTCCAGCATTCGAAATGATGGCGAGATCGCAGATCCAAATCGCCGAGATCATGCTGGACGGACTCCTCTGCTCCTGGCGACAATGTGCTCTACGCCGGAGATTGTGCGTTATTTGATTGATCATGGCAGTCGAATGGTCTCACGGCTGTATAATGGACTGACAGCTCTTCACGTCGCCGCTTACCGAGGCGAAGTCGAGATGGTGAAAGCGCTGCTCGACCGCAGTGCAGACAACGAGGAAGAAGAAGCTCGCAAGGCGGACTCCCGGAAGGAAGCCAGACGCGCTGCTGCCAGAAGCTCGGATCAACAGGACACGGCTATGACATCTGACGATGCTGACTGGGAGTCCGAAGACGACAGTGGTGATGACGATGTCGATGTTATTACGGAGGGTTCCTTTGTCAAAGTTTCAGACAATGTCGACCATGCAGACGATAGCGAGACGGATCCTGATGTGTTTGATGTGGACGTTCTGGCCTGGGACCAGCCACTGAGTCCACTGCATCTTGCTATCATCAACGGCAGCACTGAGGTAGTGGAGCTTCTCATCAAGACCTACGGCGCCGATGTGTTGCTGCCGTTCACCGTCAAGACATATTGGGGGCAGTCAAACACTATCTTCACGCTAGTCCTTGCTCTACAACAACCCCTTCAGCAGGCTAAGCAGATGCTAGCTACTCTGATGTCAAATGGCGCCATCACGACTCAGGCCGACAGCTCTGGCCAATCTGCATTGCAGTTCGCAATCGCTGATACCAAGTCTCAAATTGTCGAGTTCCTAATGAATCAGACTGCTCCCCAGAGCCTTCCCAGAGCCATCAACAAGGTGACCATGACCGACTCCTCCTGGACGCGAGATGTTTCAACTCCCCTTCTGGTCGCTGTACGAACACGCTCGCCGGAGATTGTGGCAGGAGTGCTCACGCATGGTGCTTCTCCATCTATCACGTACGAGATGTTTGCTCCGGCTTACATTGAGAAGCTCGGGCGTACACAAGAGGTCGACCAGACAAAGAAGGACTATGCAATGTCATGCGAGCAGCCAATCACCATCGCTGTTTACGCCGAAGTTCCCCAGATCGTTCAGCAATTGATTGACGCGGGCGCAGACGTCAATACCCTTACTACAAAAGCACAGAAGTATCTTCTCGCCAACGATCAGTGGTCCTACGAACATCCTCAGAGCCTCCTCGACGTGATTGATGAGAAGCTCCACCATCTTTCGCAGTATCTTGAATCAGGCGCCAGAGACTCAGGGAATCTGCCACCAGCACCACCAAAGCTCGACGAAGACCAAAAATATCTGGAAGCATTCGCGGTCGATTCGTATCAAGCGGCCACGGCGGCTTACAATCTACACGCAGCCAAGCGCGTTATTCGCTTCATGAATAGACAACACGCCGAAGAAGTCAAAAATCCAACAGAGCCCGCCTCAAATCCAAACGGCGAGAACAAGAGAGCTGCCATTCTGGCCATGGTGGAACGCTTTAAGGTTCTGCGTGTGAACATGGTGAAGAGAGGCGCAAAGACGTTCCGCGACTTACATCCAGACGCTCCGGACGAGAAGGATCGGCCGCATTATGGCTATCACCGAGCCGAGACGAAGCAAGCAAACACACCATACGAGACACAATTCAAGTTCGAGTATCTACATCAAGATACCGAGCGGGACAGACTGGTCTCGCTGTTTGAGGCTGCGTGGAGTGGAGACCGACAGCAGCTCAAGCGCTTGACTACTGGCGAGAAAGCACTGCCTGTGACCATCAAAGATATGAATGGCTGGGGTCCGCTATCAATAAGCGTAGCTCGGGGTCACCTTGAACAGGCGGACTTATTACTAGAAATCTGTGCTGCGCAGTATTATCCGGAGGAGGAGACTCGACAGCGAATGCGGCTTCGTGGTGATGAAGGCGAGATCAGCGACTATGATGAGGACGATTGCGAGGACGATATGATTGCTACCGACGATGACAGTGATACCCAATTCCACGATGTCGGACAACACGCAAATGCTGTCAAGTCCAAGGTATCGCCTCTGGAGTACTTGGACTGGCCTGCCCCGGTGTGTTGGTGCTCCATAAAGACCTAAGCCAAGCAGAGAAGATGATGGAACTCACTCGCGGTGGTAAGAACTACTCCGGCGTACGCATCAGCGACAAGTATTCATGGGCTTGGTTCCAGGCCGCTTTGCTGGAAGAACACAAGTGGGGTCGCTCACTTGAACGACTCGCCGTCGTGAAGAACGATATGAAGATGCTCATCTTCGTTCTTGATGCTGGACAGAAGTATTCGGACTTTCAGGTCCAGAGAATGGACGAAGATCAGCCCAGAATCTTCCGCTTCGACTCAGCTGTATTCGATCTTGCGCTGAGGTCGGGCCGAATCGAAATGGTCAGCGAAATCATCCGCCGAACCGGTCATGCGTTCCCACTGCAGAAGCTTGCCAAGCGTACTGGAATCAAACTCGATCAGAAGCCAAGATACTACCAGGGGCTTTCAGTTCGCGGTTCCAAGCGAGAAGATTGGGCAGCCCAGGGCCGTGGAGAACATGGTACCAGCTTGGGCGAGGACGATCTCTCTATCTTGCTGCGAGCGGTACTTTCTGGTAATGTGGAGAGTGCTGAGTACTTCACGTCCGACAGTCCTTTGGAACGCTATGGAGAATTCGCCGAGAACTTCAAGGATGACAAGCGTCTCCAAGTACTTGCCAAGGCGAAAGGCGGCGTTGGAAAAGCTTTGTCGACCTGGTATGGCACGCGATCCGATCTCTTGGTTCACATCGCGGTAATGAGTGGACCTGTCCGGGACGGCACACAGCCTGTCCTTAAGTATGCCCTGAAGACCGCACCTCAACTCCTCGACAACAAGAGCGCGTCAGGAGATACGCCTCTGCTGCTAGCTGTACAGCTGCAGAGAGTAGAGGCCACGAAGATGCTATTGGCAGCGGGAGCGGATCAGACGGCGCGCAACGCCAAAGGGGAGAATGCCATGCACATTGCCCTCTCTACCTGGAACCCGAGTCCCATACTCGAGCTATTTGACCCAAAGCTCATTCGTGGCATGCTGATGGAAAGAGCGGCATCGAGCGAGGCCTCAATGACTCCGCTAGCTCGAGCTGTGTCTGACACGGATTACGAGGTTTTCGTCTACAAGTGCGAGCTCGCATTCTCCTACAGCAAAGGAGAAGACTTAATGGTCCCCAACGGCGCAGGCGACTATCTCATCCATGACCTGGTGCGTGCTGGCAAGGAGACACATGTGAAGTATCTCATCGACTACCGGCCCGATCTGTTGTACATCGAGAACGCCACCGGGATGCTGCCAATCGACATAGCTGTCACGCGGTATCTTCGCCATGTCACCGAATGCCCTCCGAAGGCCTCCCCAGATTGGGGCTGGCCGGGTCAAGGCAACGATCACGCCAACGATATACTCCGTCGTTCAGACGTCGCATTCGAGGACAAGGCGGCAAAGACCGACCCGACAACCGTCGCGCAACGTGTCATCGACGAACTTCTCGACCTTGACGCCGCTGACCAGGATCGTCCCGGACCTTGGCGTATGCAGCGTCTTCTTCTCAAGCTCGCGAAAAAGTATCCCGGCAAGCGCAAGCTGGTGAGCGTGTTCGATGCCAACGAGGTGGCGAAACGTCTTGCCGCGAAACAACAGGAGAAGAATGCGGAGGCCCGGCGCCAGGAGCGATTTGGATTGCATGCCAAGGGTGCGTGGAGACGGGAGATGTACGATGGCGGACCGGCATCAGATAATGGTGACGAACGCAAAGATGAGGTGGATATGTGGATGCGAGATGCAACGGAGAAGCGAAAGTATGACTGGGAGAAACTGCTGGCGGAGATGCATCGCTCGGAAGAGGGTAAGGTGGCAGCAGACAATGCTGAGGCCATGGAAGTTGACTAAGGTGAGAGCAAGCGCCGGGCGCCCTGCATGAGAATCTCTGCAGCGCCCTCCCTGGTTGGGATTTATCAACACATCGTTCCCACTGCTTTGACGCTCAAGTGAGGCCCGTCTCAAGCCAGCAACTTGATTCCAGAGAGACTGAGAGGCCGTTAGCACCCTCCTGGCATGTGAATACACGATGAGCAGCTAAATACCTGGTCACGAAAAACGCTCAATGCTTGTGTTCCCAGCCTGGGTGTGCTATCGTCAGTATCACGCCCAGCCATAGACAGTAGTTTACGAAATGCGCAGCTACTCGGAGTCGAAGACCCGCTTGCATCCTCAGAACCACGCACAACATGGATCTGTACTCCCCTGAGCCTCTGGCTCTCATTCTAGGAGCATTCTGGGGCGCTCAGAAGTGCCACGATTACCGAAACGCGGTTTGAAGCGACCAAGGAAGCATTCCCAAATAGGAAGTCATATATCCCACATCCGGACTTCTATCGGTCTGTTGAGACGTTATGAAAGACACTTCGCTTTCTGTACGCTGCAATTTCGCCGCCCCGAGATCAAATACATTTGCGATGCCACGCATGCGCTACGGCCCCGCTTTTGACATGGGGGACACTTGGGGCAGTCGATTTTGAGCTCGGGCGGGAGGGTCGAAGTTTTGTATGGTGAAGAGTGTCTCAAATCACGTGATTAGAAGATTGCGAAATTGGAGTCGTCGAACACTGGATTGATTTTGGCGAAGTCCTCAAGGTCACAAATGCTTCGCTGAACAGCATCAACATCCGTCACCACGACTTCGGCAGTCACTGATGCACAAAATCATCCACTGGATGCCTCGTCCTGGGTCGAGCGTTGAGCTAAGATTCCGGGTGTAGCTACCACGTTGATTGCATAATCAGGCAACCGATAGGACCACAACGTCGGAACCCGCATTGAACTTACAAACCAATGCTATACGCGCTTCTGTGGGATAGACCCTCGTGAATGGTTTGCTACTGCACCTCAGCTGTTGAGCATACCCAAACTAGTCCCAAGCCCTCACCACAGCCACTTCTGCTTGCCTACTAGAGCCATGCCGCCAGCCACGGAGTCTTCCATAGCCTACACGGAGTACGGCCAACCAGAAGGCTTTCCGGTGCTCATAGTCCATGGCTGGAGCGTCAGCAGCGTCACCGAAGCCCACGCCTTCGAGCCCATATTTACCTCTCTGGAGACGGGGGCGCCGTTTCGGCAGCAGCATCAGTATCAGTATCGGCGCATCTACCCGGATCTCCCCGGCCACGGAGCCACACCCTCAAAGGGCATCCAGAATCTCGACGACATCTACGCTCACCTCACTTCTTTCACCGAGACACATCTCTCTGGCAAGCGCTTCCTCCTGGTCGGCTCCTCCTGTGGCGCTTATCTCGCGCGTGCCGTTGCACTGAAGTATGGCTCGCAGATTGACGGACTGGTGCTGCGTGTGCCGATGGTTGAGCCATTCAATCGGGACCTCGATCCATTCAAGCCAATCGTAGAGAATACAGAAGTTATTTCAGGCCTTTCCGACGCAGACAAGAAGGTCTTCGGCAATCAAGCATTGGTGCAAACGCCCGAGTATATACAAGCTTTGAAAGCTACATACGACAATGCGGTACCAGAGGTGGCGGAGGGCGATGCCGCGGTGCTTGGACCTATACGGTCTGATCCAAGCAAGTACAAGCTGTCATGCTTGGAAGGGTTGGATGCTGGTGACGCCAAACGGGTTGAGCTTGATGCGCCAACACTTATTGTTTGCGGCCGGCAGGACGGGGTCGTGGGCTACCGAGATAGTTTGCGTTTGTTGGAGCTATATCCGCGGTCTACGTTTGCGGTGGTAGACAGAGCGGACCACGCCATGCCAGTGGACGATCAAAACGATCTCTTTGGTGCACTGATTAGAGACTGGTTGACAAGAGCCGAGGAGTGGCGAGCACATAGAGTGGCTTGATTTCGAGATCTGAAATACCGTCGGAGCTGATCATAGACGACGGTTGCCTTGAAGCAGCAATTGTTAAACTTTCGTCTGACCGTCAGGTCATGGCACGGTCCCAACGATGGTCCCCACGAATCCAGTCATGCTTCCTGTAGACGAGACAGGCCCAGTCACAGGCCCCGCGGCACTAAATGTGGGGACCACCAGAACCTGGTCACCCTCACGAACGCACTCGACGGTATTAGCGAAGCGCACGGTGATGTTGACAGAACGCTGGCCGACGTCTTCCTCTCGATCCTGATCACCATCGAATGCAAAGACTTCTGCAAGCGAAGCCCCTTGATTTTCGCTGTCCTCGACAAGCTCTAGCGCTACAACCTTGATTGCAGCGCGAGCGCTATTGAAGTAGACTGTTGCATGGCCACCGAGTATCAGTGGAGGCGATGCGACCAAGAAGTCATTCGCGGGAAACGAAGCCACAAAGCCCTGTCTGACGTTGGCAGAAAGATCTTCCGAGCTCAATACCATGCCTTTGCGAGCCCGAGTCAAGCTTCCATGGCCAAATGCTTCCACACCGATTGTGCCAACATCGCCTACTGATAGTTGGCGGACAGGCAATCTGAGATTGCGGAGGGAAACAACCCGCACTCGTACGAACGCGTGCGATGGAGTTCGATCCTGGTCATTTGCCCTAAACGGCATATGGTCTGCGGAGAATGAAGGTCGACGCAGATCTTGAGCACTCAGCGACTTGGAGCGCGGGGCCGTGACTTTGGTCGTCAGCTCATTCGAGAAAGGTCCGAGAAACATGCTATCATCAACTGTGATGCTTTGGCGATCAACACGCCCACACAGTACGACACCACTTGGAAACTCAGCTCTAGCTTCATGTTCCGCATTGTATATTCGTACAGGGGGGATACTAAACACCTCATCGACCTGGAACTGCTTGGTCTCACCCCAACGATCGCTCATTGGGGCCACATCCTTTGACCTTATAGGCAGTCGACTTAGCAGCCGATGTAGCTTACCTATACCAGAACCGGATACAGTGCTTGTCATGACAATAGGGACAGATAGTGTTTCATCAGTTTCTGCTTGCAGCGAAGTTACGACGCTGTCCACTTCTGTACTCTCGTCCGTCGTGACGTGTTGGGTGTCCAGGAGAGGCTCGGTCGAGTCCAGGGAGAATGTCGATGTAGGCATGGGGCCAACACTTAGCAGTACCGGCTTCTTACCTGCGCCCTTTAAGCAGGTCAAGATCCTGGCAAGAATGGTGCGCAGTCTAGTCTTGGTAGCCAAGTCCATTTTCGTGATGACTACCACGATGCTGAGGCCGAGCTTGAGACACAAGTCAAGATGTGCGAGCGACGAGTCAGCGAAGGTTTCATTGACCAACGGCTGTGGGGTCGTGCCAACGTCAACGTCGTCTGCTGCAATACACACGCAGGTCCAGTCCGGCTTCCATGAGATCAGAGCTCGGTAGGTAGACTTACCGAATCTTGCCAATCCCGGCGAGTCTAAGGCGAAGCAAAGACGGTCAGCCAGGCCATGGATATCCGTCCAAGTCGACACATCCCCGGAGGAATAGTTCACGACAAAGTCAGGTGCGTCACCGGTTTTGTACCCGAGGAGTTCGTGTGCCACAGAACTGGTGATCCCGGAACTGATCTCGTGTCGATGCTTCAAGAGCGACAATCGACTCTTACCGCGACCATTATCAAGAGAAGAAGTCGTCAATGTACCAAGCAATGAAGATTTGCCTGCCGCGGATGACCCTGTGAGGACCACACGTAATTGCTCCGTCGCCGAGACTGGCCGCGCAGCCTCTGACGAATGTTGCGAAGTCTGTGCCTGGTCTCCTATTACGCCCTTCGCTGGAGAGCTGCGACTGTCTGGTTGAACAAGGACTTCGGCGGCGTATAGCGTTGCTTCGTGCTGCACAGGGTCTTGCTCATCGGAAGTGGTCGACCAGACGCAGTCGCCAACAACAACTTTCCGGAGTATGTCGACAACACATCCCAGACTAGCTGCCATGGCGCGCAAATTATTCAAGCTCTCCTCCAACTCATCCTCTATAAGACCGACCAAGGTGCCATCATCCGCAACGCCGATCTCGTATAGAGCCCCTTGGCTCTCCTCGAGACCCGGCAAAAGCCTTGCTGGGCGGTCAGGAACGCCCAGGCGAGGCGTTGCTTCCGGGAGCAACGGAAGGACCAATTCAGCGTTAGAAGAGGAATGGAAAGGCGAGGACTGTTGAAGCCTCCAAAGTAGCTGAGTGGTCAGCTGCTGTAGTCGTGCTTGTCTCGTCTGTGGCGATGGTTGGTATGATGCCCGCCGCAAAAATGTGTCGCTGACTGATCTTCCGCTGGTGGACAGGGCAGCGATGGGAGCGGGACGTAGTGGTAGCGGTGCAGTACTGCCAACCGAGGCCGTGGACGTAGACACAAAGTGCCGCCTGGGGCGGAGCAGGAGGTGCAATTTGTATTCGCACGGTCCATCTTGCTTCTCGGGCTCGAGTCTACTCCTCCCATCGGCATTCGCGCCTGGAACATTACCAAGATGTAGTGAGTGTTGGGTTTGTGGAGTCGATGTCCCAGGAGTCGACCATGGACTCTGGATCCGAGGTAGCTCGTCCTGGAACGTAAAGATGGAGGACATGGTGTTTTGTGCTGCTTATGAAGCGAGTGATTAGGATCTCTATGGGCTGCGCGGTTTTACCGCTTTAATATCTGTAACGTTCGTAAAGGTAACTTCATCAGACAGTTGAGGGTCTGCATTTGGCTCGACATTTCTGGATCAGCGGAGAGACACATTGTGACCGATAGTTGAATGGTTATCGACAACTATTCGATACGAAGCCTTACAGCTTAGGAGACGCAGACATCATGGGGCAAGGGTATTCGACGGATGGTGAACAGAAGGCAAGAGTCATTAAACAGTCAGTGATTCATTTACCGTACAGCTTCGAGAATTGGAGAGGACGTCCGCCCCCACAAGGTCTTGGCGCTGGTGAGTGGCGTCGACGTTGGCTGCGCCACAGTAAGATCCGACTGTTGATAACACTCACATTCTGCCTTGCTCGTCGTTGATGACCATCTGCGTCTGCAAGCCGTCTGCCTCGCTGCATTGTAGGGTCTAGAGCTGCGCGTTATACATATGAATCTGCGTCAAGTTCGTTGTTATTGGGACACGTGTGTCTGAGGTCCTAATTTCATCGTCGATAGTGGAAAAAAGACCGCATCCACATTGCCAGAGAGCGGCTCGCGAAGGTCTGCAAACCAGAGACACGCGATCTATGACACTGGGCGCCTCTGCGAGACCACTTTCACATTCATGCGACATCTCACCGCGAGACGGCCTTGACGGCTTATGTTTCCGTCTTGGAGACGACATGTGCGTATGATGGATACAATCTGACATCATGCGCGATAAGTCGAGCAGAAAAACAAAATGTAAGTAGGATAAGTACATACATGTGCCGAGAATCGGCGAGCTCGTCTATTGCAATCTCAGTCACGTTACAGGCCCCTAGTGCAAGATGCCTGTTCAAAGTGTGATACCGCTCAAATGCTACTGCAACAACTACCCTTGGGGGAACCAGGCAGCCGCCTCACTAGCCGCCAGGATGTGCAAGGCGCACAATCCGGATTTCACAATCGAGGCCGACAAATGTTACGCGGAAATGTGGATGGCAACGTATCCAGAACTCCCATCATACGCCCTTGACTCTGGTGAAGATTTGCAACAAATTCTCAACAATAACAAGGAGAAGCTAATTGGCAAGACGGTACTGTCCAAGTTTGGCGCGGACTTGCCATTTCTACCGAAGATACTGTCTATCGCCAAAGCCTTGCCTCTGCAGATTCATCCCAACATCGAGCTGTCGAAGAAGCTGCACGAGGAGGACCCTGAGAACTTCACGGATACCAACCACAAACCCGAGATTGCTGTTGCTCTGAGCAAGTTTGAGGTCTTCGTTGGCTTCAAGCCCAAGGAAGACATCCAAAAGCTGATGGAGTTAGACTCGCTCAAGCAATTCCTGCCCTCCGGCGATGCTGGTGGCGAGCCAACGAACGAGACGCTCAAAAAGGTCTGCGCCAATATGCTCAAGGCTTCAGAGGACACAGTCAAGGAAGTCGAGGATGCACTCGCCAAGCTCACCAAAGAGCAGCTGGGCCAAAATCAGAGCTACATTCTGGACCTGCTACCTCGTCTACAAGCACAATATACCAAAGCTGACCCAGGTACTCTAGTAGCACTGATTCTCATGAATTTCCTCACGCTTTCCGCTGGCGAAGCTCTCTATGTTCCCGCAGACGGGATACACGCCTACCTCTCAGGAGACATCGTAGAATGCATGGCGCGGTCAAACAATGTCCTCAACACAGGCTTCTGCCCACCAGCCGAGCGAAATTCTATCGACCTGTTCACCAAAGTATTGACGTTCAAGGTACACGATCCCAAAGAGCCCATATTGCAGCGATTGGACAGCGAGAAGAGCTCAAGTGGCAGGACGGCCGCATTCAAGCCGCCGATGAGTGAGTTCAATATGTTGGTCACGGAATTGCAGAAAGGCGAGCAAGAAACAGTAAAGCCAGTTAACGGACCAGGCATCATGTTTGTGACGCGAGGGGCGGGAGATATGAGGGCGGGAGGCGACGCATTCCAGCCCAAAGAAGGCAGCATCTACTTCGTTGGGCAGGGCGTGGACGTCGAGCTCAATGCGAGCAGTGATGATGGTCTGACCGTGTATCGGGCTTACGCCGAGTAGTATGAACGGCATACTGGACCCAGCAACATCTCTGGTGCTACAGGACAATTTCAAGGTCCTTCAGTCTTCATGCTTGGTCGAATCTCAAGCACAAGGCTGAAGAGTCCGGGGAGTTCAGCGGCCAGTCGAGTTTAGATTTGGTGACTTCAAATTGACAACTTGATCAACCGCCACACAACACCGCTTCGGATGACATCTGAAGGTCTCCAGCCGATGAACCGAAGACATTGTGTACGTCGAAGCTCAAGCAAATGTTGGACTGGGTTTATTGGTCTCACAAGAAGCCTCATTCGCTCATCGCCGGCGATCAGACTCAGTAATCTGGCAACACCGGGAGGCAATTGTCGGCTGCGAAAAGAACTGGCACGTAGAGTCGTAGCTATTTCCAAGTCCAGATCGAGACATTCCAGACTCGGTAGTGGGTCAACCCTGCAATCGCTGCTCGTACTATCTATAGAGGAGGTTTCGCAACAACGACCTGACGGTTATGCGCGTCGAGCGGCCCCAAATTGGGTGCTCGTCGTTTCAGGATTGATTCGCTGCCACTTGGGGCAATGATGTGCTGCCTCTCATACGAAGCTTCGTATGATCATCATTCGATCTTCCCAAGGGATCTCGAGTTTGGCGTTTCGCGTGGAGATGGCCCACCTGGCCGTCACCGTCACGGTGGGTACAGGTGACACGTGATGATCAGCCTATCTCCTGCAGAGAACTTTGGCAGCTTGGCACCGATCCAAGCATATCTGAGCAGGGGTTTGGGGTCGGTTCAAGTCAAGCAGTCGTCGATCTCAGGTTGTTGTGCTGGTCCATGAAAGTGCATACTCGTAGAAACGGTGGCCTCAGACATGCCAACTGACCTGTCTCGACTGTTCCTGTCCAGATGCATTTCAATGTTGCGTTTCTCGTCGTGGAGGTAGTGGCCGTGAGCAAATCGTCATGCGCTGCAGGCGCACCGGTAGAAAAATGGATCACACAAAACATGGCTCGATTGGGCCAGCAATCCCGCAGACAACTCGATGCTAACGGTTTCAGGCGAATTTTTCGAAGTCTATTATGCGAGCAGTTGACGTAGATCGCAATCGGGTCACGGACAAGGACGAGAGCCTAGGCCACGATTTCATGACTCGGGTTCAAGCACAGCGGACCCCAGACGGGTACATGTAGATGTCGCGTTGATGTAATGCACTGGCAGTTGAATTCCGCATCACTCCCACTTCCATGCAAGACAGGCGCTTTCGCTTGCAATAGTCTTGGGCCAACAATCCACAGCAGAAGCTCCCCTTGGTAAGGGACTGGTGCGGAAGTCCGACTGCGTTCGCTGCCGACACTCATGACCATGCAATGCATGGTCAAGGTGATCTCCATTAGCACGCAGCTCTAAGATCATTGGTCATCATACGGAAGCCACAAGCCAGAAGCACGTGGTCATCATTTTCCGCTACAGGCTGAAGATCGTCCTTAGGATCAGGAGCTGGAACATACGACATGCCAATGTACCTGACATTCTGGTCGCCATTGTTGAGCTTCTCGCGTGAGTCACCCTTTGGACTGACCTGGACCGCAACATGCATTCGCGAACTCATCACAATCTTGCAGCTTGTTGCTCAAACTGCCGAATGCACATCTAAGGAGAAGTCGTTGCAACGATTGGCTCGATAGTATAGCGGTCGGAAGCTAGGCAAACAAGTGATTCTACCCGCCCTGCTCTCCTGCATATGTGTGGCATCAAGGCTAGCTTCAGCGCGGACTGGTGGCTCTGGCGGAAGTGGATTGCTATATAGCCCATGTTACCTCACCCAGATGCTGTTCAGATGTTCACAGGGCTGCCTTGGCTTGCGGCCTCGCATTTGCGACTTCGTTCGAAGTGACGGCAACTTGTAGCTGTCCGGAGTTCATACACCTAGGTATTTAGGAGCATGGACTCGAAAATTGCCGCGCGGCTCTGCAGCTGTGCTGACTTGTCAGCGTCTAGACTCTAGACCAGATGATGTTGGCAAGAGGACGACGGACATAGGTCTGAAGAGCGACGTCCAGATTGAGGGAGTGGGCGAAGGCTCGTGTGGCTAGCGATAGGGAGTTGGGACTTTCCGAAGATTCGCCAGGATTTGTTCCCGGAATTAGAGTCGGATTGCAAGGTAATTGCTCCTGCCGCCTTCAACGAGCCTATCGTGTGTTCCATTAACTGCTTAATGGCATAATAGGAAGGACGACTGCAGCCTACGCTGTGTCCTTGTGGTCGGAGTCGTTGGAGACGGCATGAGCGAGAACCTGACGACTTAGCTCGTGGACTCCGTATTCTTCGAGCTCATCCTTATCACGCCCGGCAAAGGGGGCCGATGAACACAAAGAGGATTTTCCATGTGACTTGGCTGCTGAGATTGTGCCCACGACGCTGTGCGAAGAACGCGTTGGCTAGGTCGAAACGTCCATACTGCAGTATCTCGCAATTACGGGACTGCATGGTAAATTTTCCGTAGTCTACGCAGTCTCTCGTCATGATGGTTCTTTCTCGCCACCACTCTCCGAAATTGTTGAGTCCTCATCCCCTCGCCCCTTGCACTTGCCGCCATACATGTGTCCATTTCTCGCAGTGGTCCGCGTAAATTCTGTTCCGCAATAGGGACAGATAGCTTTCATAGCACTTCCGCTCTTCTCCCGCTGATGTCGAAGTAGATTACTGAAAGTAGAGAATTGCCTTCCATTACAACCGTGCTCCCAGCATTGTGGCTTCGGTCTCGATGGCATGATCTCAAAATCCGTGCCAGATGACGCAAGAGTCGCTGGTAGCGACCCGATCATGGAGAGCTGATCTCCGCCCGCATGAAAGGCATCAGTTCCGTGGTGACCGCCATGTGGCAAATAAGATTCCTGAGGGTTCATTCCCGAGGATACCGATGGGTTCATTGATGCTACTCGGGATAAGGGGTAGTAGTCCTGATACCCGGGCTCCGCTTGAAAGGAGAAATCTGGTATTTGATTGAGATGTGGTGCTGTCAGCGAACCTGCAAAATAATCATGTACTGTCGTTACAGGAACATGTGACCCTTCTTGGACGTCGGAATATGACGGACCAGGTAGTATCTGCGGCGTTGTTGGTGCAGACTGAGATGGGATGACAGCCAGCGATGGCTGATGGCCCTGCAGATCAAATGCATTCGAGTGTATCTGATTCGTCACGTATGTCATTAGTGCTTCGGATCGACTCTGACTCCTCGATCGTGGTAGATCTCTTTGATGATGTTGTATAGGCGTTCTTTGTCGTTTCGGACCAGACCGGACTTGCTGAGGGGACAGAGACGGTCTGCGGGATGACTCGCTCGAGTGCAACATATTCGGGTGAACGATGAAAGAGCTTGCTGGCTCATTGTCGTAGAGAGAGAACATATTCGCATCTGTCATCGTTTAGCAGCAACATGGTTGGAGACCATCTGACCTACCTATTGCTTGACCACGTATAGCTGGATCGAAGGAAAGGGGGTACTGGTCGAAGTGCCCATGCGAACGAAGAACTTGAGTAGCCATACTGTGGTGTGATTTAGCAAACGCGGGTGATGACCATCCTCCTGGAAACACTTACCTTTGGTCCACCGTTGGTATTCGGGCAGTAAGCCGCTCACGAGCGAGGCTATTGAGATGGCCTGCGTCTGCCTCTTCGTGTTGGGCTGAAACAAATGGAGCCGCGTTTGACCTGAGCACTGACTGCTCTGGTATCTGAGCGTAGACTGAGGCAGCTCTTGGTCGGTCAGAGGCAGGTTCGCCGTGGAATAGCTGTCGCTGGAGCTCGCTATTCGTGAGCAGGTGATCCTCCGGCTGGGCCCTTTGACCCGGCAGCGGCGGCCCTTCTGAACGTGATCGAGAGGCACCAGGTGTGCTGAGTCTCTTGCTGGCGTCTATTTTGAACACTCCAATGAGTGGACTTGCAAAGCAAGTCCTGCCGCTTTGTCGAATAGCCCACTGGTCGTTTCTGCAGTGGTACACAGCAGGCTTTCCAGCTTGTTCCTAGGGGTCGCCAAATGGACGAGAGGATCTTGGACGTTGACAGATGCGTAGGTGGTTTATTTACAGACTGGGCTCGTTACTCTTCGTTGGCGACAGTCTGGAGATGTTAGTGTAGTGACATTGCATAGATATATGATCGACCCGGAGTGGGTATATGTTTGGACATATATGATCTTGACTGGGGCAATCCCAGGTTGCCGGGATCTGCCACCTGTCGAACGGCTCTAAAATGGCTGACGCTCTGACTCTATTGATCCTGGGGGCCTAACGTTGAACTTCTGCAGTACTAGCCACAGACCCACTATCCGGGAAGTGTATCATAGTCTAGGTGGGCCCTGGTAGGGCACTGGGTAGCCTCGTTGGGCCCAATGGTGTTCAAATGGACGTAGTATAAACAAGCCAGTGGTCACCGGTACGTCTGTGAAGTTTAGCCAGTAGTGAGATGCCAGGCACTAGATACGAGCTCATCTCAGATTGACTGGTTCGCCTCTGCGATGCGTTGCAGTCGTAATTGCCTCGAGGGTAACAAGCGTACATTCTGTAGAGGCACAAGATAGAAGCGGATGAGTAGCCCCATCGATTTCCGATGGAGAGTGTGCGGAAGCAATACGACCAGATGATGACGAACGGTTTCAACCGGTGATGTGCTGGACGCAGGCACACGGTGGCACGACCAATACCTGCCGACCGGACCATTGTTAGAAGCTACTATGAGTCCCGATTCGACTAGCACACCCCATGACGATCAGCCCTATATGCAAGTTCAGTAGCCTTTTGTAGAAGTCGGGTACAGATCTTCAATAGGGCCCTAACGATCCTGGACGTTGGCATGTTCCGTGCCGGCAGTAGGAGAACTTTTGACGCTCCCAAAGAGCATTTGGCGGCTAGACGAAGCGTGAAGTGTTACCGGTCTGTCCTTTGATGGCATCCCATGGATTTACGACCCCAAAGACTGAATTTGCGACCTGCTATGGCGGGATAGTTGCGTCAAGCAAAGCAAATTAGCATCGATGAGGTCGACTGGAAAATGGTGGAATGATTGGCTCGTTCGTGATGCACAGAGTCCACAAGGATGGTCTTTTGAACACTGTGGTCAGAGCAGAATATCCCTATTGATCAAATTAGCGACTTGAGCTGAATCGCCGGAGAAGCGCCAAACTCATCGCGCTGCCGGGAAGTCAACTCTAGCACTTGGATGGGTGCCGGATCTGTAACCGGTGTGCTTGATGATGCAAGCCCACTCCTTGTTTAGCAAAGTCTTAGCCGGCGTTCACCGTCCGACAAACCGTCTGGACCGTTGGGATCGTACACACTTGTCAGATATCTGGTGGACTTTAGTGCAGATCCAAAACTACTATGCGAGGCTCTGTTTGCACCTTGCATGCGTCCCCTTAGCCTATTTCAAACGTGGATCTTCCTACCACACTTTGCCCTCCTTTACAGATCAAATGCTCTCTGGTATAGCTTCAGCCACACCTTCTCCGCCCCATGAGGCTGTGCGAATGAATATCTCCACATATGGTAAGGTCAAATACCTATACCACGATCTCTGCCTGTGCTCCCTCAACATCACCGTTCGTTCTTCTCTAACACAGCAATCAACATTCGCTGAGGTCTGGGTACGTATTGGAGCGTCTGCAGAAATCGCGGAGGCGAATGGTTTAGCTCTGTGGTAGTAGCAATGACGCGGGCTGATCGACCATGGTCGCATGGTATGACCCGCACTGCTCACATTGTATGTAGCACCCAGATGCTGGAGACCACGTCGGGCCGTTTCTACGCAGAAGGGCTTGATCCTGTGAGTAGTGCATCCGCATCTGCAGTGTAAGCCCAGGGGTTTGGCCAATTGCTTACCATTGTGACTTATCTAATCAGCTTAGCGCTCGTGCACGTATACCAATGCCTGCGACTGATCAAACATTGGCAGCAATTCTGCCGGTGTTAAAGCTGGAGTATCCGAGAGTTTGGTCAGCCCTACACAGCCGATTGGCATTTGACAAATGGTCCCCTTTTGTACGCAGGCGGGGAAAGCATGGGGCCAAGGAACGACGAGGCTGCTTAAGGCGACTCTATCGCTGGTTGGTGTATTGCACCATGCGATTGAGAAGAAATGACTGCCGTCCATCACGCAATGGTGCCCAAAGACCGTGTCGAGTTTGAGATGCTACCTCGTATCTGTTGGCCGTCGGGACTAGCAAGTGAATGTTCGAGCACAAGGATCATGCGACTTGCTCCAAATGACGACCAGGTTCCTCGAACCGATTCGGGCTATTTTGCGGGCAGCGCCTGCCAATTCGGAATCCAGGCGGTCTGCGTCTGACTCAGGAATGACAAAGACAAAATCGGGCATACCTAATCGAAGTCCGATGGCTTACTTCACAGATGCAACAAGATCTCTCCCTGCTGCTCCATGCCTAAGCCTATGATGGCGCCGGTGGAATTGAGCACCGTCTGACTCTTGGCTGTACCAGGGTACCCGACGGTCCCGCCGCCGGAATCAGCGAATATAGCGGAACCGAAGGCTCTCACCGCGGACGTGTTGGGCAATCAGACTCAAAGTTTTGTGTTGCGAAGTACTTTGCCACGCGTGGAGCGCATGAATTGATGTTAGCTTACATCAAGCTGCATTATCGTGAGTGACTGGTATGACCACAATCGCGACAGTAGCCAGCAAGACCCTGCCATACCTCATGATGGCAACCTGCTCGTACTCGGCCGAAATGACTAGAAGCGGTTGAGATTGGGGTCCATGGCAAGGCTGACTTTCAGCCTCGTTCTCCAACGTCACTTCGGAGTTCATCGTGATTTGGACTCGCGGCTTCTCACACCATGCCTCTACACAATATGACACCTTGAGACAATCCTGCGGCCGAGAGCGCCACCGCCTCTTGCTCACCATGTCCACTTCGACCGACGGAGAGCCGCCGCTCTCGTATGTCACGCCCGACTTCCCCTCCCTGTACTGGCCCATTCGCGCGTCGCCAGGCGAGCCGAAATACCTATACTATGCAGGTGACATGTGGCGATTCACCTTGTTCTGGACACTTATTACTGTGGGCGTTGCTCATGTTCTCGTGGCGATATGGGCGGTGCTTATGCAGTACTCTTCCGCGCTGCAGAAGAGGAAATGGCTCATGTCACCTGCCGCTTCCAAGTTGACGCCGAAAAACAGGAAACTGGTCGGCCAAAATCCCATAGCAGAAACTACACGATGGGTATGGTTGGTCCCGATCCTCTACGTGGTAATTGGCGGTCTTGAGGCGTTGCTCGCTGGTAGTATCGTTGGCTTAGTCCTCGGAGCTGTCTACGATGCAGGATATTTCAAAATGAGCACCTGGACGCCACTTTTCTGGGGGATCATTAATTTGCTGGTCTTGGTCCTCTCAAGCTTCCGAGTTCAAGGCGCGCTATGAAGACGCTTGGCTCCTCGACGTACGTCAAGATAATTTTTTAGGAGCACGGCTAGCTCAGTCGGCGAAGTGTACAGGTGGAGAAGCGTGGTCTTCTCGACAGCTTCAGTGCAGACTACAAGGTGGAGCCTGGTCATCTTGAGAATGAAATGGCTATCGCAAAGGATCCTGCATGGACGCTTCCATAATCTTTACGCGACCATGCTGTCGCAGCATGTGAACTCACGCGCCTTCCAAATGCGACGCGTGTGGCAACGTGGCTAGCTGTACTGCGGGCTGTACTTGGCAGTCTGTGAGGTCCCGGCCGATACGCAATCGATTATCACAGGATGTGGAAACCTCGACTTTTCCACGCCAAACCTGCAGCTCAAGATCATTCAAGCCTTTTAAATGCGTCTGCGGGCGGTCAGGACCCGAGCCATAGCCTCTAGCGGGGTTTGCTGGAAATTGAGCATGCTCAATTACACATCAATAGCGAGTCCCTGGGAAGAAACGGCGGTTGTGTGTCATCGAATCGACTCGGGTAGTGTGTGGAGCTGTCCTCGCTGTGATTCACGAATAAAAGATGCCCTCAGCCAGCAGCCACACACAGGTACAGCGACATCACGGGATCGTCGATGTGCACAGTGTCACGTTAGACTTCTCATTCATCAATTGAGACACGCTAGAACGCGCAAGGCACTCACTCGTACTGATCCGCTAAAGCCTCTTCCACAAAGAGCACTGTGTGTCTGGTTATTTGATGGCACTATGTGCATGTTGTGGGAGTGACGGACCATGCCATCAGAACAAAGCCCTGATGGCATTCAACTTGCAGACCTTGGAGCACCGACTCGGTCCAATCGCGAACTCGGAAATCAATTCGAGGTCAACAGTCCGAATTCCGATTTCAGCACACCCCGTGTCTTTCACACTCATTCTGCTCGGAGCGATACATCGTTGCTGGCTGCCTTGACACAGAGGTAGGTACTGTAGGTAGGACGCCGGCGCGCCAAGCCCTTTCGGACCTCCGTTTCGGGCTTTCGGCACGCCGTTCTGGTCCTTGGCATCATTCGCAGTCAACGGTCAAAGCTCCATTCCACATTCCTCACTCCCGCCGGCTGCCCCGGACTACCAGCCACACGTGTCCGCATCGAGACCGTTCTATACAGGTCTGCCGCAGCCAGTGGTTGGCTGTTGCCAGCCATCCAGTTGCACCACTATTCTCGGCTTGCAGATTCGCAATGCTGCAGACGGTGCGTGCACATGATGTATTGACAGTCAACATCCGTCGATGGTATATACACCAACCTCCTCCGCATCGCAAGATAGGCGCTGCTCTCGGATATCCCAACCTCTTCCTTCCGTTTCTGTGCTACTCTACCCTTCCCCAGCTGGAGATCCTGCTACAAGTTGAGGCATCAGCGGCTCATTTTTCCGGGGCAGCTGACCTTTTTGGCAGACTTGACCCCGGATTCGTACATCTGTGTTTGATCTATAAGAATTCGTTCGTCTCTTCTTGCTACCATCCCGCCCCATCCTCATTCCACACCATCACTCGACACCTTCGGCGTCAGAACCACACTTGCTGCCCTTATACTACACTCAACAAGTCCACCAGTCCATCAGCCCACTACCCCATCTCTAGCCCGTTGCGATCACCCATCCACCCTCCGACATCCACCATGTCCTTCCCAGCACTGTTCGCCCTTCCCTCTCCGGCAGACACTCTCCCATCCCCGTCAGATGCCCAACCCCTGCCCAACCTGCACCTCCACATCTCCCCTCCCTCATCCCAAGAATCATCTCCTTCTCACTCTCCTACCTCATCCCACCGCTCTTCCCTTTCTTCCTCCCCTCCCTCCCACCTCTTCCTCAACCCTATTCCCCGTCTCTCCATCCCTACTCCCCCGCCTCGATCTGCTTTCTCTTCGCGTCGCGCTTCCCCTTCGAATTCGCACCATGCCCAGTCAGCGAATATTTTCGAGCCATCAGCATTACCATCAGCAGCACACAATCCAGCAACGCCGCCCTGCTCGCCCATCGAAGCAACCAACCCGGGCCATCTATCCTTCCCGTTGATCGCGTCTATGCTATACACCTTCCCGACCGGGGCGAGCATGCACCCGAGAACACCATCAAGGAACGCTGGGGCCGCACGTGTGGGAACAGTGTTGAGTGCGGGGCTTGGAAGAAGGTGACCATTGTTCTTGTCGCCACACCGTGGTGGCGGTATACAAAATCGGCAAACATATCGCTTAGTACAACATGGCGGTATACTGTCCGTCATACGGCAAAATGGGCCAAGAGCTGCGACAAAGATGTGCCTGGAGGCAAGTCGAAAGTTGAACCGCAAGATTCGATAGTGGGAAGGCCACTACACAAGATGAGTGAAGGAACAGAAGTAGAAGCATCGACGCGGGTCATGAGGTCGAGCCGGAAGCAGACGATGTACTCGTTCACACAAGCTGAGGAGAGCGATAATCAGACTGATGGATCATCAAATAACTCAAATCAAGCAGATGTATCATCTAAAAGAGTGCTCCATATGCGCAACTTGTAATTGTCGTCGACGCAGTTACTCCGACCTTGAGCATCGCCAGTGAAGTCATCCGGCCTGACATGAGCCCCATCTCGTGGCCACTGTCATCCGGTCTTGCAGATATATTTGTGCTGGATCGCAACTGCCGCACTGTATGGTTCGCGCTCCTTACGTGCCTCCTAAAAGACCACTGCCAACGCTATCGACCGGTGTGGTCGTCTTCAATCTTGTGGGCCGATAGTTCGTCCGGTACTCGACCGCCGAGGAGAATCTGTTCCTGTGCCAAAAGCTTTTGAACGATTCTGTCCTTAAGACTGGTTGCATGGCACTATTCGTTGCATTTGTACAGAAAACGCCGACTGATGGAAAATGAGCAGTGCCCCATGTCCTTCATCCGCCGCATCAACATCGACATGTCTCGTTTCCATCAACTCATCAACACCCTGCCGTCTTTGAACGCCAATCCAAAGTAACGACATTCCCATTTCCCGTCTTCAGGACGAGCCAGTGATCCTCCTCACCCTCCTCCCGCCACCTTCACCTGTGACCATGATCTTGCCTTCGGCCTCCAAGCCCCTGACGGCCTCCGAGAACTCCCCACCCTCTACCTCTCCACCGCTATTGCCCTCCTGCACCGTACGATACAGATCTGACCACCTCACCTCATTGCCCCTCCTCACATTATCATCCGCATCCAACGTCCTCAACACTTCCCTCTTCAGATCCTCCTTTCGCCTCCTCTCGCTCGCGCTCCCACCCTCACTCAATAGACCCATGTCAATCAAGCCCGTCCGCGCATCCGTCGCAGATGCCTTGATAGCGGACTTGATCAGGCGCACAGCCTCGTTCACGTCAGACTCCTCGACGGTCTCACTGAGGCGCATCTTCGCGTGTGCCTCGGACAGGCGGATCATGGACTCGAGCTGACGGGTTGTGGCAGTGATGCGACGGTCGGTGGCTGCAACGGCGTTGCCGAGGTTGCGCATCGCCACATAGCTATCTGTTAGGATTTGGGCGGCGGCGGGCGTGATGGTTGGGTGGATGTTGTTGCGTGCGAAGGAGATGTAGGCTGTGAGGAACTCGACTGGCTGTGGGCGCAGGTGTTAGTGGGTGGGTGTCGCACGGGACTGGGCGGCACTTACTAGGATTTCTTGTTGAGCCGCGTTCTCGGGCGTGTCCTCAAGATACATGCCGACCATGTGCCGGGCGAGGCGACGGTCATTTTGCTCGTCGATACGATCGAGAACGAGGTAGACAAGGTCGAACCTGGACAACAGCGTCGGAGGAAGGTCAATGTTCTGTGGCACCGGCAGGTTGGGATTATACTTGCTGCCGATCGGATTTGCTGAGGCCAGGATCGATGTCCTGGCATTCAATGTGGTGATGATGCCAGCTTTGGCAATCGAGACTGTCTGCTGCTCCATGACTTCGTGCAGAACGGATCGTGTCGAATCGTTCATCTTGTCAAATTCATCGATGCAGCAGACACCGCCGTCTGATAGCACCAACGCACCTGACTCAAGTACGAGCTGCTTGCTCTCAGGATCTCTCGTGACGTAGGCCGTCAGGCCAACAGCAGAGCTGCCCTTGCCTGACGTATAGACACCTCGCGGGGCGATCTTGTGCACATATTGCAAAATCTGCGACTTGCTCGTACTGGGGTCGCCGCAAAGCAAGACGTTGATGTCACCTCTATACTTCGGACTTCCGCCCTTCTCGAAGCTCTTGTTCGTGCCGCCAAACAGCTGAAGCAAGATGCCCTTCTTCACATCGTCCATCTCGTAGATGCTGGGCGCCAGGCTCCGCGAAAGTAGATCGTAAATGTCATCGCGCTGAGCTGTCGCTCGGATCTTCTCTTCCTCTTCCTTACTGACCTTGCGGACTTGCTCCGTCTGCCCGGCAACATGCTCAGCCAACTCCTGCTCGATTGTGCTTGCATCATTGCCCATTCTGCGATTGTCTACCTTCTTGACGTGCAGAACATCGACATAGGTTTTGAAAAGATTCTTGACGGTCGCATACGCGGGTTGACTCGGACAGGATTGCTTCGGAACACGCCGGTGACCTCGATGCGATCGCCAGCTTTGCATACATCGACCATCTCATCGTAGACACAGAGGCTGACGCTATGCGGCGTCTGTCCGTCAGGTACAGCGTCAGGCGTCTCTTGCAATTTGATGACTTGCTTGTCGGCGAACATACTTCGGTTGTGTACGATCTCCATGCTGTTCTTGCTGCCGCAGATCTGTCGTTTACAGACGGTGGGCTCCTTGATCTTGCCTCGGTCGAGTCCTGCCCATCTCGTGTCGCCGCAGACAGCACATTTAAAGAAGGCTTCCTTCATGTCTGGAATGACTGGTGTGGTACGGATGACTAGACCCTTGATAGAGATCAGCTTATCGATGTCGTTCGGGTCCAAATCACGCATGTTGATGACTCCCTCCATTCCGAATGGCATTGTCTTGTAGTTGATCAGCTCCGCCTGCTCCACAAGGTTCGGAATCGCGGCCCCAGTGGTCGGATTCGCATTGTCAGCATCTGAACTCGGTTCCATAGGAGCAGAGCTGCCATTTGGGGCACGAGTTGCACCCTGGCCCGCGGCTGCACGTTGCAGCTCTTGCATTTCCTTGGCCGCCAGCTCCACGGCAAGGTCCTTCACAGACTGGTCCATGATTGGGATCATCTCCTGGGGATAATCTTTGAGCTGGTGATAGAACTTCATGGTCGACGGGTAGGCCTTGAGATTGCGAACATCAATGTTGAGTGTCCCGAGACCGAGCTGCAGCATCTGTTTGATCAGCTCAACGTATTCCTTCTGCTCAGCGATGGGACCAAGAGCATCAGTCTCCGCTTCGGTCATGCCATCTGCCCACATTCGGTACTTCTTCGTGTAGTTTCGCAGGAAGCCCTTGTAGGCTGCCACAGTGTCGGTGATGGAAATATTGGTGCCCCAGATCACGCGACTTGAGTCGCCTCCCAGGATGTCGGCTTCGGAGGTATTTGGATTGAGATTTGAGAAGGTTGCCTGGGACCCTGGCTCATCATCACGGACGGGCAAACCATCTTCGCCCACGAAAATGCGCCGACGAGCCGAGCCTGGACCACCAAAGTTGTCTGAGTGAATGTCGCCTCTCCTCGAAGTTATTCTATCATTTTCCCGAAAGAACAGTCCGCTGCTACTTGTGGGAATGTCACGGTTCTGCTGGCTTGCGCGAGGACTGGAGCTGGGATCATATCGGACGGGAGACGATTCTGAGCCATGTCAGCGAGATCGTACAAGTCAATAACAATACTTACCACCCGGCGCGACCTGACGATTGCCCCTAGGGGTGGTGTCCCCATCACCAGCGACAGAAGGTCCTCGAGGCGGTGAGCTGACCATCATCTCATCGATAGAGCGCTGGGCTGGGCGTGGTGTCTTCTTTGTGGGAGAAGACGACTGGAAGAACACTGGCGACGAGGATGGGACGCCGGCGCCATTTTTGGATCGCGATGACCCCTTAGGCGAAGATGGTGGTTGCTGCACAGGGGTGGATGTGACGGACTTGCGGGACGAGTGCCCTCTGCTGCGGCGCGATGAAGGCGTCGACATGTTGTTTGCAGATCGTCGACTTGTCCAAATGTCTGTATACTGCTACAAGCGTAAATCGAACGGTGCAAGCGGAACGAGGGGCAGAGTAAATCCATCGCGTCCAAGGCTGAAAAACGCGTCTTTCGCGTCGCGCGTAAAGTGGTTCTCTTTCGGGAAACTCAGCCGAGCTACGCTATCCACCACTGCAGACCTCGTGCACTGTGAACTATCTGTTGGACCAGATAGTCAAGTCGCGAAGGCTGCCAGTGTTCGTTGCAACCCTCGAGAGACTGCATCAATCCTTGATCTAATAATTGTGCCTGCCATGATGTCACAGCAGAGAAACGTCAGGAGTGAGAGCAGTACTAGACTCATAGTCTCAAATCCTTACGAAGAAGGCACGTCGTGTAAGTGTGCCCATCAGCATGCAGGGTTCAATTCCGAGAATCGTCGTCAGATCTTGCGCAGGGATGCTGACATCCTCTAGATCAAACGCCTTCACACCGTAGCTTTATTCCGTCGATAATGGCGCCTTGAACAGGACATATCTAATTGGTACAGACGAACACAAGACGGCAATGAAATTTGATGACAGCAGCTCCTGGAAGCCTCCTCATAATGGACGAGGTATGCTATGCAGTTCTCTAGCATCTGCACTTATGACCTGGAGACACGATAACATAACCACTCGCCTCCGTGTACGCATTCACGCTAGGGACGACAAGCCGTCCCGCAAGGGGCCGTAGCGATTTTGAAAACGGTCCTGCCGTTCGATTGGGTGCACTGCACACCTAGATACCTTGCGGTGACCATCGAAGACTACCAGACATGTCGAGGACCATGCTCGCCCCATGGCCAGCGTCCAGCCATATCTCACTCGATGACAGTTCACAACACCGAACAGGCACCATCAAATATAGAACGTTATTGGCCAGGCCAGTCCGGTGAGGAGATCTCCTCCGTTGTTGAGGATGATCAGCAACCAATGTCCAGGAGTTGCTGGACACCCGGGAACTGCGGATTTCATTGTCTTCCTTCGCAATAGGACCATGTTTCCGTGATCCTGAATAACTGAAGCATGTCTCGTGCCATTCCCGTGAACTCTTGCCGGTCAACCCAGAAGTTTTCGCTGCTGGAGCTCAGATAGACACTGACTGGACAAAAATTTCTGACTTATCATGTGAATTCACCGCCTCGAGATCCACGTGGGTCGTAAAAATTCCTTCAGCTTCCACCGACGGTGACCGGCGGTGACGACGTGATCAGAACTGCGTCTGCTGCACTACGATGCTGCCACGTTGCAGCATTACGGCTTCGAACAACCGCGCGTGGAACTGATGTGTTCAGCAAGCAAACAATTGGCCATCAGCTACCAGTCTCAGCAAAGGGAACAAGGCTGACGTTCACCAAGACGAGCCTCATTGGGCACGGGAGATGGTCAGGTACCCGAGACGCAGGGTCTGGCCGGGATGAACACCCCTGTCTCTACCCTGGAACTTCGGTTGTTGAGCACCGCGACATCTTAAGAAAAGATGTTCGTTCCTGATTTGATCTGAAATCAGCTGGCACACTTTCAGAACCCGAGTATATGTGAGCACGGCTGTTTTGACGGCTTCTAACTCGACAGTCGGCGCCCCGGATGCTCGGCCCTTATCGCCCGGGTGGAACATTCCTTCAGCCGTGCAATGCCCTGGAACTTCCAGGAGCATTCTCGGCACTGAAGATGGCCAGAATGGGCATGCCGCCATTCGCGAGGTCTTCGATTGACAACAATCTCGACAATCCACAGCCAGGAGATACGAGAATGAGGCAAGATGCTCCACTACATAGAACAGTCTCAATTCTTCTCGCCTTCGAAGCATGCAAATGGCAGGTTCTGTCACGGGAGGCTAATGATATATGGAACGCCGCATCCCTGGCTTGTCGTGCTTTCGGGTTGCCGGCGTTTTGGACGACGATTTGTGCCCCTTGTCTTGGGCACTTCTCCGTGACTTAATATGAGCATCTGTCCCATGTTTCCTTGTACGATCTTCCACGCATCCACATCTCGAACACTACACCACACATCAGCGTGAGCGTGTCAGCACATGACCCTCAAGCTGCATTGAGAAGAGCCGCCCAGATGAATTTATCCAGAGTCTGACAGCCCACAAGGCGAGGTCCAGACCTGACCTGACCCGACCCCGGCCGATGATCAGCCGTCCCCAGAGGCGACACCCGTGAATCGAAGCTCCTGCCGCACCCTCCAGTATAGTATATACTACGAGCCACGTCCTCAAGCGATCACTGCTCACCACAGTCGTCTGCCCCGATATCGTGCCTTGTGCTACTACGACAGTAGTCGACAGAGTAGGACTATCAGCATCACACGCTCATTTCACCAACTGCACCCACGGAAGGCCAACACCGGAATCGATACCTCTTCAGACCCTGACCCGCCCGAGGCCAGACTTTCACACAGCCCGACCGCCTCTTTGCGCAATCATCTGACCGTCCCATTGTTCTATACTCCACAGCCTATGCAACCCAGGCGTCCACAACTATGCCCAAAGAGGCTTCACGAGCCCTCTCTTCGGTGCCTGTGACCACGGCGACACCCAATCACAGCTATCCTCATCTCACGAGCTGAGGATTTTCCTACCGTTTTCCAAATTTCGGAAAATGGTTGCGGGGTCACACATCAATATCCTGCCGCATACATGAGGAGATGAGGTATGGTGCATATGGATAAATGTGCTCCCCCACCTCGAGCTCTTTGTTCATGATGTACTGCATCAGCTATACATTGTGAAATTGTACGCCCACCGTCAGTCCATACTCTCGACTTCCACGGTCTGGCTTCTGGGTTCCTTCTCGACCATCTGAGAGCAGCACCTCCCCAGGACAGCTGCACACCGACGCTGTCCTCTGGTCATCGCCCACCAACCACTCGTCCAATTTGCACTGGCCAAGGACATACGCCATCACATGCTCGAGGTCACTCAGGCTCACAGGCACCTCGGCGGTCAACCATATGTCTCACGTCTCATCTCACACTCTGGCATGAACACGTGGCGGTACACGGTCTATTCTTGCTGGTGCCATCATCTCAGGAAGTCATCTATGCTGATCGCTTTCGTACACCCTGTCGCCCTGCAATTTATCCCATCACTTGGTCACTAGGAGGCTACCGGCGTCCGGGCTCAACTCAGACAGCTACGCATCGCGTCACATCATCTCGAAGTCACCGAAAATAGCAGGCCAGGAAAGATAGGATTCAAGTTTTGACAGTCTCCATGCCATTGACACCAAGGCCTATCGATACTGATCAATTGACTGTTCCGCCACGCCATATGTACGTCCCCGCTCACTGCCATTCCGAGAGCACAGCGGCCACAGCAAATACTTGATCATACTGCCAGTCACGGCGGGAGTCCACTGCAGGAGGGACTGCTCGCCGGCCACGATGCAGCACGGAGCACTTCTGGCGGACCCGCCTGCTCTACAACCAGTGCAATAGAGCCACTTTGCGTCAATCGAAACGATCCATGCTGCAGTTTCGACAACCTGCCCAAGCTACGCGGATTCGCCGCCGAGTCTATGCCGCCAGAGATTTTCTCGTCCATGTAGGAAGGCCTCGAAATGCCGGTTTGCCCTTCCAGTCTGTATTCCCCTTCGCCGATCATGATATCCGACACACGCATTGCCGGCAAAAGAAGTTGGGTCTATTAACAATAATCCAGTAAAAGCACTTTTTCAGACCACCAGGTAGACGCCATTCCGTGAGGGTTTCAATTGCCCTCAAAATCCAGGTGAGTGAAGAATTTTGCAAAGAATGCAACATCCGCAGGAAATGCTCAGCGCGTATTGGAGAATGCGCAAGTGAACAGCCGCTGAAATTGCTTGAAGAAACGCAAGTCATTAATGTCGAAAGTTGCGAGTGTTAACCACTCCCGAGTCTGTCGATCAATCCTATCTGGATTGGACGACTGCCAGATTATCCTCGAATGGCCGTCGAGGTTGATGCTTCGTTCATCAATTGGAAAGTCCCAAGGTATGGGGAGCCAAATGCGGGCGAAGCAGATCGCGAGCTGTAGCACGAGCCAGGCAGAGGCGAATTGGACCTCGAGAGCTGAGGACTCGTGGACCGGATTGATGCAAGCTCTGTTGGCGGCGACGGGGACGCACTCCGATACACTGGAGTGGACGAGCCGGAGCTATTGAGGGAAGCAGTACTTCGATCCGAAATCGACACATCATCAGCACCATCAGTTGTGCTCACGGCCGACCTGATGGCTGCCGAAGGTGCGTTAAACTTTGGTGTGCCAAACTGTTGAAAACATGTTAGCCCTTGGATGGGATCGCCTCGGCTTTGTCGCGGGAACCTACAAAGCAGTACTTTTCCACTAGTTCCTGGTAGGATTGAGAGGTGAGTGGTGGCTTCTCTGTCAGAAGAGCAGCCGGCTTGTCTACTGGTTGCACAGCAGGAGCTTTCGAGACCACTTCAGCTTTCGCACCGGCACCAGTCTCAGGTTTGGCAGAGGCGACACCTGAGCTGGTCCCATTGACCACAGGAACATCGCGGGAAGTCTGCTTTGTACCTGAAATCGGGGTCAAGCCGCTTTGCTCGCCCAAAACTGAGATGGCTGTGCTCTTAGCTGCGCTCAGCGAGGAGTTGAAGTCGTAGCGAGTGCCGAAAGCATTGCCACTCGACCTTGGTCGGCGGACTGGAGCGTCTGCCACAAGTTCCTGTTTGGAACGAGGGCTGCGTAGCTTGATCTTGGGCTCGCCCATGATCTCAGCTGAGTCACGGAAGCTGGTAGAGAAAGTTTCGAAGCCTGTTGAGAAGTCATCGAACGAGGTGGGGAACGATGACGGGCGACGACCAGTTGAGGTAGGTGGTGATGGTCGGCTGCGAGGCAGCGCACTGAGCGGACGGGCGCCCAGTCCTGGCAAGCCATTTTTGCTTGAAGCTGGCTTGACTTTCTTGGAGAAGTCTACCTGGTAGTTGAAGCCACCATTGTTGTCCCAATGCTCAGTGC